AGCCAAGGGTCAAAATTAGCCTCACCCCTGGGGTCATATATTAAAGTTTTCCTTTATATTTATATAGCAAACACTTTTAAAAAAATCTTTTTATCAGAAGGTTTAAGGCTTAGAGCTTAGATACTTGGTAAATAATATCATCAGTAAGTCCTTTACCAAAGTTGTTCAAATGTTGCCCCTAGTGAAATAGCACCAGGGTGTCATAGGTTTTCCTTAAATGTATAAACATGTATAGAAAAAAACAACTTAAAAAATATTCTCCTCTGGATTGACAAAGGCTAGATGTTTGATATTTGGCATGAAACCTTTACCTGTGTAGTAGACCTCTATAACAATTGTTCAAATTAAGCCCTGGGGTCAAAATTGGCTCTGTCAAGGAGTCTTCTTAGGTTTTCCTTATATGGTATGTAATTACTATGTATATAGTAAAAACTTTAAAAAAAATCTTGTCTGAAGGTACAAGGTTTACCAGGCACCAGGGTGTCTTAGGTTTTCCTTAAATGTATATACATGTATAGAAAAAAACTTAAACAATATTCTCCTCTGAATTGACAAAGACTAGAGGTAAGATATTTGGCATGAAACATAGTCTACCTCTTCCAAGATTGTTTTAATTTTAGCCCTGGGATAAAATATGCCTTGTGCGAGGGTTGGGGGAGGGAGTCATTAATTTTCGTTTTGTACTTGTAGTAAAAATTTAAGAATGTACAAGGCTAGAGCTTAGGACTTTGATGCCTAAATTTTGTCAAGTACAAATGCTTTTATTTTGAATCAATAATTGCACTATGGAGTTGCATTTTTTTTCAGTGAATGTGTTTTGCATGTAAACAGAAAATGTTCACCTAACTTTTAAGTCTTGCTGAATGATTCAATACCACATTTTTATAGACTACAAACCCGCATGTTGGTCTTGTTTTTTTAAAGTAATAGATAAAAACACTGAAGACTCTATTTTACTATTTTAGTATTGTATACTGCAGATAATAAACAGGTCTTTGCAAACTGATTTCTGTATTGCTCTTCAGTTTCGCAAACCATATAGTCTTGCCTGGAAAAACACAGCACTAGTCTGTAGGAACAAAACCTATTTCTTGTCCTATTAATAACTTGAGAAGAAATAAGCCTAGATTTGTGTTCGGAATCGACTGTAACCAGAAGATGACTTCTATTGAGTTCAGTAGATTAAAATCACATGGTCTTGATAACACAAATATTGTCAAACAATGTATACCCCAATGCTTGCAGCGCTTTGATTAAGTCTTGTAGTAAGTTCTGAGAGGCGCTTTTCTTGCAGTGTTTCTCCTCTTACTATAGTTATGATTCTTGACGCAAGGTTGAAAGGAATGTTTAACTTTGTATGTTTCGGATGACACGATTTAAAGTTGAGGTAGTTGTATGTGTCCGTCGGTGTTCCAGATTTCATAACTAATACATCTAAAAATGGCATGCTTGTTTCACTTTTATTCATCGTAAATTGAATACAGGGGTATAAATTGTTTATTTCTCTTAATAAATCATCTGTGTTGATATTTTTCCCGACTATTAAAAAACAATCATCCAAAAATCTTTCCAGTTCATTTTAATGTAGTTTAAAATTTTCTATCCAGTGTTGAATTGCCTGTAAGCCCAGATCATGTGGAATGTTTGTATACAAATTTACGACATCTAAGGTAACTAAAATGGAATCTTCTTCTACATTTTCCGGCAAGTAATTCAGGAAATCTAAGTCATCTCGAATGAAACTTGGAACTTGTATACATAAAGGTTTTAATATGAGGTCTAAAAAGTGGCTAAGTCTCTGTGTAACACTGTTAGGTCCCCCTACAATAGGCATAAACATTAAATCATCTGGTGCAAAAACTTTAATGTATTCAGATTTATTATTATTAATTGCCTATTCAATTTTCCTACTTTTATGAATTTTAGGTAACCCGTAAAAAAAGCTGGTTGAACTTTCAAAATTAGTCAAATATGTTGATTCCTCCTTTACCAATCCTTTACCGTGTTTATTTACTATATCATTTAATTCTTTCCGTGTCCTTAAATCTGCGTTTACATCTGTCTCTGAATAGTAACTTTCATCACTCAACTTTTTCAAAATGCGATCTCTATAGTAGTCATTGTCCATACAAACTACAGCACCGCCTTTATCTGCTTCTTTTATGATTAATGATTTTTTCAATAATATATATATAAAAACAATAAAATGATGCACTTCTAATCCAAATTGATAACTTGGTTACATATAAAATCTGACTGCATAAACACTTCATTTATCTTCATGCCAACATAAAAATATGATATACTTTCTTCAACATTGAAATTCAATATTACGACAGAATGTTCAAATAAATGACAACAACAAGTTATCAAAATGATTTAATAAGAATGCACATATAGCAAAACTGAATAAAAATATATTAAGCATTTTAGACTAACATAGTAAGATAATGTGAATATTAAAATAATACTTGGAATAATAAACGTCAATTAAATCAAGAACATCAACATTCTTGATATAGTCCTGGTAGTAGATCCTACCATAGATCTATGCTTATTGATCTTATATATATAACTTAAAACTGTTTTGCACTGATTCAGAACATCTTTTCCGATTACTTATGCGGAAAATGTGTTGTGCTACGATTTGGACATGTACATTAATAATTAATTTTGTGCAAGTTTTTAGAAATATATGTATATGACACAAGTTTCCCAAATAAATAACTATATCATAGCATCTTCACGTGATTTTGAAAAATATTTTTAATAGAGGACACTATATTTACTTCATCATAATAATAATAATATAATCGTCTTTCAAACAAGTCGTCTAGTGATCAGAAATGCAAACGATATTGCAAGCAACCGTACAGTGACCTCGCAAGCAACAGGACGACTTGTTTTTCAGATTATGCAAGCAGCAAACCTCAGCGGTAGCAATTTCAGTGTCAATATTTTCAAAACGAACGAGTTGTCTCCAAATATTTCCCCAGTTTCTGTTACCTAGATCGTTAATCGTTTAAGAGTCTAGAGGGTTTGCGTAAAGCTTCGAAGTTGTTGAGAAAATTGTTGCTTGAAGTCGACAAAAAAGAAATTTTTGAGGAATCGAAGTGAGAAACCCGATTGTTTTAAAAAAATATAGGTTTTCCAACAAAAAGCAGACCGAGAAAAATCTGTTCCATGTAAGACCCACTCATTTAAATAAAAAAAATCTTCAATGATCGAGCTTAACTTAACTATTTTACCTCTATTTCAGTCTAAATCCGCGTTTTGTCGTGTATAACACGCTCGCAAGCGGAAGTTATAGCGGACACTGGAGTGTACGTTGTGATATACATACAATTGACAAGATTTGAACAGTTCTACCTGTGCACCGCCTACCTTTAGCCAATCAAAGCGAAGAATTCAATATCGAATGATAACAAAATGGACGTGAGGGATGATTAAATGGACTAGGCCAACCGCCATGTTTTGTCGGGTTACTTATTCGTAAGACTGAAAAAACCATTATCTATGTACGAACTCAGTACCAGTCTTTGTCTTTTTGCTACATGCCATTTCTGGTAAGAGAATGTAGTACGTCTTAACCCTTTCCCTCATGAGCATATTGTGAAAAATGGCCGTTTTCATTGAAAAGCCTCCTGTTACAAGTTCAAACTGCTATGAAACTATGAAAAATGTTTCAATACAAATCAAACTTGGCACAAATGTTGACTGGACCATTGCCTTTGTAACGACATGCTCCGTCTTAAATTTCCTGTTTCCATGGCAACGAGGAGACATCTCAAAACTGCCAAAAATCACTATTTTGCCTTGACTTTTTCCATCAAAGTTGATTTCAAAGTGCTGCAAAGTCTCAATGGATTGAGATAAGAGTCAAAGGCTTTTCAGCGTTGGTTACACGTTACCTTATTACCTCATTTTAGCCGCTCACAAGTCCAAAATTTTCTTGGCGATGAGGTGGATGCCGCCCCCTTCAACCCCCCTCCCCCCCAACAAAAGGGGGCACACCCCCCTTCTGGCAACCCCCTGATGTATCTTTTGGATGGGGTCGGCGTCGAAAAAGTGCTCACTTTTCTCAAACGAAAACATGTGTTTGGGGCCAAAATAGGACATTGTTTCACTATTTGAGGCCTAAAAGGGGGGGGGGGGCTCGAAAGTGCGTTGTTTCGCGTATATATGAGGTAAAGGGTTTTACAAAAAATGATGAAGAACCTTGGAATTACCCAAAATCTAGTTTTCCATGTTAACATGTGGCCTTTCACCTAATTTTGGTGAAAATTTGTTGTCTTGTAACATTTTTATTTTTTTTAGTTAACAAAAAATGGTGAAGAACCTTGGAATAACCCAAAATCTAGTTTTTCCATGTTAACATGTGGCCTTTCACCTAATTTTGTTGAAAATTTGTTGTCTTGTTACATTTTTATTTTCTTTTTAGTTAATAAGAGTAAATTTTGTTTTCTTTCCAAAACTGGCACTTTAATTAAGAAAAAACTTCACAAATGCTTATCCTCAGGCGAGTTTTTTTATTGCATCAGCAGGTCAGTTTTTAGTCCGTTTAGGAAAAAAATCGCAAAGCAGTCGACAGTGTATAGAACATAAATTCCATTTATAGAATGTTCACAGACATCATTTTTTAATGTGTAGCAAGTAACTGTTGTTAATTATGCAAGAAGCTTATTATTTTTGCCGATTGATGCACGGATTTTACTACGCGTTTAGTTATAGTGATATTTTTCTTATGGCAATATCTCCTACATTCTGACTCGGAACAAAAAATATCTCTCGAATATAATTGAGCACGTCTAGAAGGGAATGGTAGAGTAAATCAAATATTTTTGTTAGTTTTATGTGTTGAGCACAAACAATAAAGGTATTTGGATTTTGAAGGTTTTTGTTTGATTTGAAGTAAAAACTTGTTTTATTCTCTATAAATCAAATTAATGCCTAAAAAGAAGAAGATGGACACAATATTAAGCAAACAAACAGAAAATAATAGATTTTATGTTTATTTTATTTCGTTACAAAGACGATAGATTTATAAAAAATATCAATATATTATAATATATAGTAAACTATCACAGACTGAAAATACAACTTGAAATGCAATAATGGATATCATCAACACATAAAATAGTTTTTAACAATAAAAAAAATCGTCTTCTGAGAAAATCATTTCGTCTACGGAGAAAATAATTTCGTCTTCTGAGAAAATAATTTCGTCTACAGGGAAAATAATTTCGTCTACAGGGAAAATAAGTTCGTCTTCTGAGAAAATAATTTCGTCTAATGAGAAAATAATTTCGTCTTCTGAGAAAATAATTTTGTCTACAGCGAAAAAATAATTTCGTCTACAAATAAAAATTATTATGTTACTGGCTCAGAATAAAAATTAACGAAAGTAACAGAGAACAGAAATATATATTTACACAGAAATAAAATAAAGGCATCAATAATTAATCGGAAGAAAAAAGTTAATCGGACACCAAAAGATCAAAGACACAACCTTTTACTTTCACTTTAAAAATGTAAATAAGAATAAAATATAAACTGTAATGCACAGATCTTTATCACAACCCACCACAATCCATGCATTTTGTAACGAAGTTTATAATGTTTAAAAAACTACAATATACATGTATTTTTTTTGGGTTGAATTTTATGTCAACTCAACAGGCGACTTTCAAGCTTTAGTGGTGAAGGAAGACCTCAGGTGCCATTTTTATGCATTATTTTAGGCACAAACATGCACCGGAGTAGAAACACTGACTTTCCGTAAAGTAGCTAGAATAGCTTTCTTACGTGAAAGAATCCAAAGACGCTGATGCGGCGCATAATACGTACTCGTATATTCAATATTATCATAAAATAGAGCTATCAAAATGCATCAAACGCGTGTTTCTACAGAATGACCATATACCAATTGGGTTAGATAATTATTTAAAATGCCAGTAAAAATTGTACATAAAACCAGTTTCAATTACAGGCAATGCACTTTTTATGAAGAAATTCCTCAATAAATAAATAGATAAAAATAAAAAACAACAACTTTGACGACAAATAAAACATTAAAAGTTTACTTTCTAAACAAAACAGCAAAAGTTATTTAGTCAAACCTGTGTTAAAGAGACAAGTTGATAGAAAATATTTTGAATAAACCCTGCCTCACAAACCAGCCCTTTGTTTATTTGGACACATTTTCTATGTATTCAAATCTATTCCTGCCTTAAAAAAAGCCCATCATATATTGGCAACATTTGCTATGTACTTAAAACTGTCATTAAATTGGTCTGCAAATAATGACCAAAAGTACCACAAGTGTTCATGGTTTGACTTATATACACTTTAACTGCAAAGATGATATTAACCACTAAATGGCAAGAAAGCAAAATAAAAACAACAGTAACAACAATAAACACGAAACATTATGCTTTTTTTTGTAAACATCCAACATTGAAAGAATATGTTTTTTTCTGTAAACGTGTAACATTGAAGGACTAGAAAGGTACCCTTTATTAGTGTGATCCATACAGCCAATATGGATTTAAAATGAGCACAATTCACTATTTTGAAACTGAAAACATTCAAACCGCTAAGTATTAACTATAAAAAATGAAGTACATAAGTACATAAAAAGATAATATTTAAAAGGAATTTTCTTTTGTTAAAATTCAATTTTTAAATGTGAATTCAGTTTTGATTAAAAACATTACTATAGTCAGATCTAATAATATAAGCAGGCCCATAGCTACATTAAGAAAAAATTAAACTTTTAAGATATCTTTAAAAATATTAATGCAAACTGAACTGTTTATAAAACATCTAAAATAAAGCATATGTTTTTGTAAATATACATATAAATATATATCAAGAAAAAAATAATAATAAAAAAAACAACAATTACGCAAGTAGAATAATACAAAATGCAAACTCTGTTATATACAATAATAAATGCAATTTCGATCTGGTACATGAATGCATAAATGCAACATTTTAGAAAAAAACAATAAAAAAAAAACTTACAACATTTACACAAATCAAAATATCCTTTATCAATTTATTCTCAAACATTCAACATTTAAAAGGCTACAATTTTCACTTCTTGCATTATTATCTATATTCTTTTTAAAGCCATGCATTTATTCCTTATTATGTATTCTGGTCTTATTAACATATCCTGATCTATCTTTATTTCCAAAAAAGCAGAGGTTGCTCAACACAATTATTTTAGAATATTGACCAATTTAGGATATCGCCTAGTCATGCTGAAACATTGGTAGTCTGAGCTTGAACTTAAATCAAAATATAATTTAGAAAAGAACATAAATTAGGTTAACTTTTTTGATCCAAGTGATAACGCGTATGGTTTAAGCAAAATATTATGTTATTAACTGCTTTGATCATTAAATGTCCTTAAAAGAACTATTTCTGCATAATTATACTGACACATTGGGATAAATAATGATCCTTTGTCTTCCAACGTTTGGTACATACATTTGGCATACATGGAAAAATTGTCTTACACATCCAGTCTAAATCACACACAATATATCACAATCAATTATCTAAATAATATTGTTACACTAACTTCTAAAAAACAACATTTACACCAACTAGTATACAATTTATATGTTCATTTGTAAGTTGTAAAATTTTGCTAAATTTACTATATAAAACAGTTTATATATTCATACAAAATAATTACTTATTCACACAAAATATTATCTACATGACCTTCTTTATATAAGATACTAATTTCAACATACTCATTTATCGCTACTAGTACACATGTATATGCTCTTCATTTATAACTTGCACAAAGTTAATTTGTTAATATGATGTACTAACTATATAATTTTTACAAAAAATAATACAGCAATTTAAATGCAACTAAGCACACTATGTTTTTACCACATTACACATGAGTAGTAAACTATTTTTTTTGAGCAAATAACTCCAGAAATGTAATACTCTGTTGGTCCGCAGACTTACAAAATGCTAACCTTGCACTTGAACAAAAAGATAATATACCGTATTAATATTCACTTAGAAATGCTATTGAAAAAAAAGTAACTTTCCCCGCTCGAATCTGTAGAAAATAAGATTCCAATTCAAGAACACAACGTTTTTGTGCGACTGCGTTTAGTGAAATGAAAAGTATATTAAAATAAGTTTACATAAAACGAGAAAACAACAACAAAATATATGAGTAAACTAAACGCAGTCAAATGATCAAGTATTGTCAAAAATTTATAATAAAATAAACTGTCTCATAAATTGTCACAAGCAGCATGTTTGTGTCATTTCACGTCATGAACACCTATAAAAACCAAAATCAAATGGTTATTTTTTTCTAATTTAATTTCAAACTTCATTAATACTGGTTCAGTTTAAGAAGCTCGAACTCTGGTATATCCAAACCAAGCCATTGCAATAATTCAAAATATGAAAACACAAAGGCTTTTGTAATATCTTGAGTATGTTCAAGGCCATTCGCCTCCATCTGCAGCGATCTGTTGAACCTGAGACGGGCCTCCAATTCTGCTTGTTTGCGCGCCATTTCCTCCGCAAGACGTCGCGCCTCCTCCAAGGCACGTTGTGCCTCTTCTTCCCTCCGCTTCCTGAAAGTTTGCAAAATATAAGGTGAGTGACATTTTGTTTCATCTTTTATTAAATTTATAAATTTCACCGAAGTTCAGTAAAATAGTCAGTAGTTTTTTTCACACGCCAAACATGACACATTTACTTATAAATTACTAAAATCGTTACTTAAACCAGAAAGAAGTAAAATAGGAATTGCAGGTTACTAACTTAGAGAAATTTGAATGGGAAACCAGAGTAAAAACCATTCAACAATATAATTGCTGTGAACGTATTACGCTCCTGTTTGATTTTAAAAGTACGGTGTCTTCAACCATAATCATTTCACCATAGATGTCTGCGAAATCTTTGTCAATCATTGAATATAAGCAGACGAAATATAACTGTAATAATGGACTTACTTTTCCTCTTCTTCTTTCCTTATCCTTTCTTCCTCTTCAAGTTTCTTCTTTCTCTCATATTCAAGTCGTTCTTCTTCTGCCATTTTTGCCATCATTTCTTCTTCTTCCTTACGACGTTCCTCCTCTTCTAGTCTTTTCCTTTCTGCTTCCTCTGTATAATTTAATAAATACCATTTATATGAGTTTACTTATATACGTATGAATATTTTCTCAATCAATGTAACAATATGAACTCTGTAAAACAATGTGAAGAGCGTGTGTTTTGTTGATGTGTGTTCGGAGAGACAAGAGTGTTGCTACCTCGCTCGACTTCACTTCGGGAACATATTACACAACGTTCACTAATTCTTATCTTATTCTTGCTCTCAATGATGAACCCCCTTTGTTTCTTATGACTAAAATCATATGTAACAATTATTAATATCTATTTATTTCAAATTTTGCAGTGTTGCTAATTCTCTAAGATTAAAAGCGGACATTTCTCAAAATAAAATAACACCAGCAACTGTATCTCCTTCATACTAAGTCTCACATTGGATAAATCAATATTTCTCATTTATATACTCCTGCTATGTGTCATTTGTGTAAGGTGTATTGTATGTGAGCTTGTTTTGCATATATAAACCAAGAAATAAAATTTCTGTTCTGATCATCGCTTAATTCCTTACCCTGTCTTCGCTTTTCTTCCTCGGCTTGTTTTGCTTTCATCATCTCCAATTTCTTTGCATAATCTTCTTTTCGTCTTCGCTCCTTCTCTGCCTCAGCTTTCTCTCTTCTCTGCTTTTCTAATTCTTCTTTCATTTGTTCCTCATTTTCTTCCTCCTCCTTTTGCTTCTTTAATCTGTAAATCATGCTGTACAAATTAGGCTTTGATTCAAATCGTCACTCAGATTAATAAGTATTAATAACGCAAATGGCAGATTTGCCAAAGGTTATAACATAGTACCGAAAAAAGCACAAAAAAACCTTTCCATTATAAATAATTAAAAGCTATGATTTCAACAAAATAAGAAATTAGTTAAAGCAGCTTGTATTATGCATGAATCATATGAAACTTATAAAACCAACAAAAGCTAAACATTGGAAACTGAATTTTTACATGAAAAATTAACCTGTGCCGTTACCCTAAACTTTTGAATATATAACCGTACCAGTTCACAATAGATTTACATTTCGATATACTCATTATTCCAGAGCAAGAAGAAACTATTACAATATATAGTATTTGAACTCAGGGAAGATCCAAACAAACACCAGGGACCATTCCAGGGAAAAAGATGTTGGGGGTATTAAAGAAGGTCAAGTTGCCGAGATGTTGGTTTTATCCTGCTATTATAACATGCACCTTAATGTGTCTTATGAAGTTACAATTACTCTCAATTATGACGAAACCATCAAAACAGAAAGTTATTATAGTTGATAAGGTCATGCAAATCTTCAAAAAAATATTTAGAGCTTAATTACTTGTATACACGTATATCATTGCAAATTCACTACTGTACTTATAAAATGTATATATTTCATGTTTTATATAATTTATAAATTATATAATCATAAACTTATAGGAACAGGATCAACATGCTGTTATATAGAAAAACAACCATTTAATCTGGCTCGCAAAAGTCTTAAACGTACTGGTTCTCCAGTGGAACTTAAAATCACAGACATGCAGCTTAAAAAAACTATCTATATCACCTGATGTGTACCTCAAGGGTCATGTCAGTATTATAAATACATGAATGACATTCGTGAAAAACTTAATTTACAGAAGGAAAAATGGCAACTCATTTTCTGTTTGCAAACGGATTCAGGTTTTTCCCCATGATTCCAAACAATATACATAGGACAACATTTCAAATGATAAACCATATACTGTTGTCAAACATATACTTACGAGTCTTCCAGGCTAAAGGTTAATTAATAATTATTATTTTCAATTACATTAATTGTTTTGTTCCGCTCAAATAACATACATACTCATCATTTGATTTCTTCAAAGATGTTTGTTACTGGCTAATAAAATAAAGGAAATCAATGCACACTGCCCATATTACAGCCCTTAGTATAGTACTATACATAATGCAAATATATAAATGTAAATCCTGTATAAAAAACCTTTAAAAGTAAAATTATCTATTGTATCTAATATCCATTGTAATAAAATAAAAACAAAAGGAAACTTTTCATACAGAAATTTGGTCTATATAATAAAATCTATCAAACTCTCTAATACTTTTAAGATCGACACTTTTGAAACATTCAATTACTAATAGTCCAGTCATTATAAGAAATGCAAGTTTTATTATATATCATTTTAGTCAACATGCTATTATTATTACCTTGTTAAATTACGCTTCTACATATGAACCATTATAAATAAACATTTTTAGAACTTGACGTACAAACTAAATGTAACATAATGCTACTGCATGCTATTTATCTATCATACAAAACATGCTTATTTTGTCAATACATTAACGCTATACCGAATTCTAATTTTCCATTTTGTCGTGCAATATACCACAATTAACGTGCTATATTCAATCACTTTACAAAATTATCACAAACGAAGTTACAAACTTACTCTGAAACTTCCTTGATTCTAAAGATAAAATTACAAATCGGCAGGTGGACAAATATTTTGACAGTACCGATGCTTGCAAAAAATCAATTTAACATGTTGAATCAGAGAATAAGCTGTTTTAATAAAGACATTTAGTATTGTATACTAGTAGATTGTTCACTCAATCTGATAGTATTTAAACAGTAAGCTAGAGTACTAGTGTTTAATGTTCAGTAAAATACACTGATTAATTTAATTTATAGTGAAATAAAAGACACTGGTAGTGATTTTAAAGTTTGTCAGTTGGAAACCTGTATCTTATTTGTTTGTTTTACTGATCCAGCAATTATGAATAATACAATAAACTGAAATTTAAATCGAAATTGACTATTCAGTAAAATTTGTAATGTCGCATTACTTGTTCAGTGCATGATAGATTGAAATAATGTCACATCAACAACACAGAGGTTACAATGTTGGTCTTATTGCAGAAGCATTTTACTCGGTATATATAAGTGATCTACTTTGTGTAGACACAGAAATCTACTAATCCAAACATTGTTCAAATACATTTTGACAATAATCTGCAACTACATTCTTCACTCTATAACATAAAATACATGCTAATATTACGACCTATTGTCACACAATGCAGAACATACTGTCTCATAGTACAGTTTCAAATGCTACAACTATATAACAAAACTAACGACAATTGTGTTGGTTGTGCATAACACAATTACTATAACTCAGACATTCATCTACTAACACATGTGCAGACTTTTTTGTCTCATATCTTGGTTTAAAATACAACACAAACAAACGAAACTAACGAACTAACAATAATGTGTACAGCATACAGATCTATAGAACTCTACAGATCTCATTCAAAGAGTTTGACATTCATTGATTATGATTTCATCATAGACGAGAGCCTTAAAATATATGACGCACTGCAAGATGTACTTGACACGAATATTTACAACAGAAGAAGTCCAAACAACTGCTAAAATGGACATAAAAAAGTTGCTAGACAAATTATCAAGTTGGCAGCAGGAAGAACTTTTCTAAGTATCTTTGTCATTTGTTTTGAAAAGTCAAATTGTTTTTTTCATAATATGAACATACTCATTTCAATCAAGAATAAAAGCAGTGCATTATCATGATAAGAGCAAACAAACCAGAAGATGATAATTTTCATGACCAATATCGCATTCCTTGTAACGTTCCTATCAATTTAAAAGAAGTTACATCTCATGAGAGGCTAAAAATGAATTGTAAACATTTTTGGATTTATACGAACTGTGCGGAAAACAAGAACATATTTCCCAAACATATTTTTTTCATAGGGGCCTATGATGAGGTACATAACGTATCCATACAAAGATATATTAAAAAGATTCAGAAATTTGCTCCTACTTTTTTAATTTTCTTAAAAGGCGTCCACTACTACCTCTCTGTTTCATCATGAAGAAAAAACAATTGAAAAGGCTAAAACAATTTCTACTGTTTTCTACAATGCACTTCAAACAAAAAAAACTTACAACTGTACGATACTGTGTATAGAACTTAGACGAGCGCGTGTCTCGTTTCTGCGTTCTGGTGATTCATAACTGACTAGCAGTTCAACTAGCCGTCTTTAAAAACAATGACGAACATAAAATGTAATAAAAGAAGAAAAAATCATAAAAGCAACAAAAAATATAAATAAATGTAAAACAACTCAATAAAAGGAAAAACGTTTGATTTTGTGTCATAGCGACAGACGCAGTGCGTGCACTGCGTTTAAAGTTATGTTAGGTCAGTGTTACACGTGACAGGAAGTTTAAGAAGGTGTTTTGTTAACGATGATAACAGTGTCAATAAATATGTGTTTTGTTGTAACAAACATCAAAGGAAGCTTTAAGCTTTTCAATACAGATATCATAGAATATATTATACATTTTCCATTGGCACCACTTAACCGTTGGGTAAAGAGAGGTTTCACCATGTCAGCATTGCAGTCTGTTCTTTGAGGATTAACACCCAAATAGTTTTCCTTATACCTTATGCTATACTGTCTATAATGATTGCGAAACGATAATCGCATAGCCATATACATGAATAGCTTAATCGTAGCATAATATTTAGTTACGATTTTGAAAAAATCATACAAGCGGTAATCATGGACAGATTTGCCAAAGCTCTACACTTTTACCGTTCAGGGATTCATCAAAAGCAGCATTTGGTCATTACCGTTAACAGGATTCTGACCGATAACGGGAACAGATTGACCAAATTACATTTTTAGCAATTACCGTTGAGATTCATCAATTTTTGCTCTTGGCCGTTAATAGGAACAGATTCTCCAAATTATGTTTTGAGCAATTACCGGGATCAGATTCAATACTTAATTCAATGTCACTGGTTAAACTGAATTTGTAAGGTGTCAAAAGTACATGTTAATGAGTTTTCAATGTAGTAAAAATGCGTAATTAATTCAACTATATATCTGAGATTATTTGTTAATGTTAAAGGTTAACTCAAAACAACTAACGTGAACGTTATCAATACTTGGCAAAAAAAGTAGTAAACTAGTGAAAGTTGTTTGTTCCAAAATGGTGGTGACCTTTAAAACCAAAACATGTTGAATGTTACAGTTATATGTAAGAGACAATTATAATATTCATATTCGTTGGCAACCATGTTAAATTCATCATGTTGAGGGATGTACTTTAGAATTTTTAATTTTAGAGGTAAAAACTGGAATAAAACGAGAAAGTTACCTCAGTAGTCTTTGTAAAGTGGATAAAATGAATTCATCAAATTAAAAGGAAGCAAACATAAAATAACAAATTAAGCAAATAATCAAAAGAATGTGCTAAGCTGAAAAAGGTGATAAAATAAATTTAAAACATTCGTAATCTGTATGTAACATTTGGATACCTCTTCATACCAATGAGCCATAAATGGTTTTTCAGTTGAATTCATTCCAATAAATGTATAATTTTCAATATTTATGAAAAAATCGAATACCATTCGTAATTGCATTTTACATTTTGTGAAACAAATTCAGTAAAATGTTGAGTTTCATGACTATAAGCTTAAAAACATTTTTCTGAACAAGTTTTACAAAAATATATGTATGAAATTTACAAATGATGCCAGATTTGTTTTATCACATGACTATACAGTAAATGAGATTTTGCTCGATTTGTTTCCTTAAAAAACCCCAACATTTTTACAAGATTTATAACAATTATAAACCAGTATCAAAATTGTTGCTACTATAACCAAGAGTGGTAGATTTATTCCACTGGCGAATTTATGCCAATTATGTAGTCATGTGATATAAAGTGTAAGTAAGTAAGTATATTTAATTTGCCAAAATCCCTTAGTATTGAGTTCATATATATATGGTTTAAGGTGCATACAAGCATTATATATTAACATGCTCATTGTTAGAAGATGCTTGATCCTACAAAGCCTTCTACAGACAAAGATCAGATCTAAAAATAGTAACACGAGCTGTGTAATGTTGAGACGTGCTTACACAACTTTAAAATTACCTTTCTAATCTAAAGGAGCCCAAATGTAACAGAAAATGTTATAATAAAATCAATTGTTTGATAATTTGTAAATAACGTGTCATTGTCAATCATTAGCATAAAAAGCTGCGCAAAATGACTGGAAAAGAAAACAATTGCGAAATTGACATGAAAGTAATATAAACTATAAATATAAGATATATCTAACATACTTATCTTATAAATATATGGTGAAAAGTTTTACAGTGAGGTAGGAATACACATCTCTTTTGGACAAAATTTTGATTCTTAGAAACATTATCATATGCTATCTATAGTGTGCACAAAAATAATTTAAAATCACGTTGCTTACTTGTTAAATGTAATTTATCTCGCTTTAGTAGTTCTATTTTTGTGTACATATTACACAAAACGTGCGTTTATCAGTTCTTCAACAATAAAGCAATGCTAACTTCAACAAAACAAGAACTATTTGATGAAATGGAACTCGGAATGAAAACTCAATCAACATGTACATATTATTCAAAATTAACTGTCCCGGAGATAGTGTATTTCTACCAATTTCTGAATAATATAAAATGTTCATTGCAAATATTAATCTGCAATAATGTTTACTATAAATGTGTGCTGTATTAAATTGCATTTACATAAAATTACTGTATTTCTACTGTGTCTCAATCTTTGAAAGAAGCAATGTTGAACCATCTAGTATGAACTTTTTTTTATAATTGTAAAACTTCGCACAGAATAACAAAAAGTATAAACAACTTATAGAATAGCCATATAATGTATTTCATCAACCAAAATAAAAAAATACATGTAATACAACATTCCTTCCAACTTTCTTCTGGTTATAAAACCTATATGATACAATCTGTGCAATTTTTGTGGATGAATACAATTTCAAATAGTAAACAAAAATATCAGCAAAACAGAAATTGCCACTAAAATTGACAAAAAGCCTGAAAATGTGGTTAATTACAAAGAAAATGACCATAACTATGACAAAAAATGGCCATTTTTATGCTGTTTTATTTTTTAAAGAATGTTTACTTTAATTTCAATCAGGTTGAGATTCAAGGTATAGAAGTGCATATATAATAAATATATATGCATTCGAATTCCTTTGGCAAATTGTTGTAAAATATGCCTTATTTATGTACATGATGTATATAAGTTGACTATAATAATGCAAGAACTGACTAAATGTAAAGAAAAAGAAACATCATCACAACGTACCTTCTTTCTTCTTCTTTCCTTTTCCTCAGCTCTTCTTGCTCTTGTCGCAATACTTCTTGTCGTTCGTGTTCTTCTTTCTCTCTCTGTAATACAACCAATGTTTGATATACGTAATGATTGATATAAATCTGGTAAGTCATTTTATTTCAGTCATCAAAAGGTATTACATTTAGGAAACCTTCTTAACAACTGATTATACCCATGCGACCACTGCAGAGTAAGATCAGCTGGCATATATGTGCTGTCTGATCACGGTCTGCACTGTTCGCTATTCAGTTAGTATTTAATCATTTTTCCATTAAAGTAATACTATATCGTAAATGGTTTTGTCCACACTGAAAGATGGACAAGTCTATTCAACATAGTTATAGCCGGGTTAAAGGGATAACAGCATGCAGATATTAAACTTTTATTGTGAGTTATATAAAATAAAAATATATTTAATATTTATATATTAAATAACGAAATCAATAACTCTGCTGAATTATTGTGTCAATGAAACTCACAAAAACACATTGAAGTAAAATAAATCTTAATACATTTTGTATTTACAAAACGTTCCTATCCATTTTTTTTCTTATTTCAAAATATATTGCTAAAGCTTAACAAAACACGCTTAATACCTTATTTGTTTGTTTGTTAGTGTGTGTAAGCATACCTTAATTTGTTCCTCTCTTTCTCTACGTTTTCTTTCCACTTCCTGTCGTCGTTTTTCGGCAGCTGCAGCACGTTTTGCAGCACGAGCCTCTCTATTTGATATCATCCTTAATTTATCAGCTTCACTCTAAAAGATATACAATACACTAAATAACAATGTGGTAATTAATAATTTACAATAAAATATAGAACAACGTAATCTTATTCATGATAAAGTAAATGTGCGTAGCTCTTAAATGTATAATGAGCCTCGTTTGATAAAAGAATGGTATTTAATACAAAAAGAACTGTTCCATAACCTAATAAAACAATATTTTTTCTATAACTTTTCTACTTGTATTCTTTCTAAAATCTTAAATGGTGTAAACATATTGAATAAGACGGTATGTTGGTAAAACAACATTCACAAATGTTGTTTAATTTCTTATTTTGATCATAAAATTGGCATGAATCTTTATCTTGAGACAATATCATATTGGCTAAATATTACACAATGGAAATCAAAAAGAAGGAACTTCTTTACATGGTACTTATATATCAGACAGTCAAAAAACATTTCAAGTTATCAATTATATTAATGAATCGTAAATAAATCATTGTAAATTAATCATCACAAATCATAAATAAAGCATCAAAGATCCAAATCTGAAAAAGAGACAGTAAAAGGAGAAGTAGCAGTCATTTAACGACAATAACTGAACACACAACAATAATTCAAATATAAAAATTAACATGTAACTTAAAAAATACTTTTTTTCCAGTTTTGTCTTGATTTGTGTGCAAGAAGAAGTGAAGAGATTCAGATAAAATAGATTAAGTGGTCGACCATCAAGTCTCAGAGTTAAGTTTTGTTATAAATATAGTATATATCTAAATGTTAAACATTATTTAAGTGTTTCAAATAGACACATATATTTAAGTGTTTAAAATAGAAACATGTAACAAAATATACAGTAATTTATACCACAATAGCTCTGAAAATTGGAATAGGTTAAGGGGATTAACATAATTGTTAATTGAACAAAACAAAAGTTACATTAACAGAATGATATGTAGATGATCAAAACAATGTAATTGTACATAGAAATAATTTCATTAATACTCCTATTTGTTTTACTTAAAAGGAACAAGATACTAAATTTTTTTCAAGAGTTTTATTTGATCTGTCACTGATAAATAAGATGTTACAAAAGTTAACTAATAAAAAGTTAGAACAGAATCAGTTATCAATCCATCTTTTTAATTAGCATAATACTACTGTCTTATAATTGGAAAATTGAAAAAAATCTCTAAAGCTGAAAAAGAAGACTAAGAATGAAAGATAACTAATTCAGAGATATAATAAAAATATAGCAGAAGAGAGAAAATTATCTGGAGAGAGAGAGAGAGATCTAGCTTTTATGATGTCTTCGGACATTTAAACTGCAAGAATAAAGGTCTATGGTAAGCATAGTGTCATAAGTTCACTATCTACCAGTCTTTGATATATCACTTACAGACTCTCCTTCCTTGTTTGCTGCCTAAATATTGAATTATAATCATTAAATATTACTGGAACCAAAAGATGAACAGCTACAACTGCACAATTAATGTGCAATCCAAACAAAAGCGAAGGACACAATTCAGGACTGCAATATGTGTGGTTAAATAGCACCACAGCATTGGCAAAAATCGAGATAAAACATCCTGTTATCAAAACATCTAAAAAAAGAACACAGATAAAATATCAATGGTCAAGCTCATTTATGCATTTGGACAGATCAATACAACAGGGACATGTTTATGCTTTATTTATGTAGAAAAAAGAGACAATAATGAAACAACACACTTAAGACTCGTAGAAATTAGCATTCAGGTTACCGATCATGTTTTCAAAAACATCTAAAAAAGAACACAAAGAAAACGTCAATGGTCGAGCTAAGCTATGCATTTGGACAATAATTTTATTAATGCAATAACATGTAACAATGAAGACCTGTTTATGCTTTATTTATGTAGAAAAAAGGGACAATAATGAAACGACACACTGGAGACTCGTAAAATGTAGCAATTTTACAGGTACAAGATTCATTCTTTTGCGAATAACAATGCCGAACAACTGGGCCTTACATAACAATATTTGCAAAGTAAAAATAGTTGTGCGATAAGACAAAACATGTATTTATATTTTAAGATATTTTAAGCCCTTAATTGTAATTTTATTATGACAAAGTCATGTTTTAATCACTTGATGATGGGTTGATTTCTGTTTCTATTATCAGTCTTTACGTGAACATTAAGCTGCAATTAGGTTTTCATTCTTTAAACCTATTACAAATTTGTATAATTTTAAATACATGTTTTTATAATTATATTCAATTCAAGCCTTTATAACAAACGTTGCTGCAAGACTAAAATTAGTTCATTAATTTATAAACTGCTTCTGGCTACCATGCAAAAGGTATACCTCTGATTTAATTTTAAAAATGAATGAGTCGGGCTGAGACTTGCAGGAGTTTACAAAGAAAAATATTTGTTCACATTCAAAATATTTCAATTGACATAACAGCTTTAGATTTGACTTAATAAATGTATTAACTTAGGTTTCTAAACTTGTATCTTAATTCTTCATTTAATTTAAAAAGACGTATTTCAAATATAAAATATCAACTTCTATTTAGTTTGCATACAAAATAAAACAACACAAAATCCCCACTACATTTGTACAGAAGTGCGAGAACAACAAATGTACATTTGTTTCCGAACATTCGGATTACCAAATCATCAATATTGTCTTCGTCAGGCAGTTCTTCAACATCAATTGGATCAAGATCTGGCTCTGTCACTGTGTCAAACTCAAATTCTGAGTTATCGAAACTCGTAAACGAGGCAAAAGACATGTAGGACATTGAATGAGCGCTGTCAACTCTAGTCTTACGTTTTTGGAACTTTCTTTTCCGTTTCTTCTTAGATTTCCGTGACTTTAGCAATAACAAAATAGGAGATACAATAAAATATCAACTAGAAATGTTATCCAGAAAATAAAAACAATATCAGAAATTCATTATTCCCATTTCATTTTACAATAAATTGTAATAACAGATAGTTTCTATAAAAACTTACATGACAAGTTTATTTTCAAAAATTTAAAAGGCCTTTTTAAGTGAGTAAGTTAATCATATAATATTTCATATAAATCATGAATTAAAGTTATGTTATTTTTTTAGAATTATAATGATTTACAATATAGGTACAAACAACTAGAGGAAAATAATGAATATGGACTACAGAAATTTAATACTCTTTCGAATTTGTAGTTTTATGTTTGTTGTATCAAAAAGTCATTGAAGGAACAATATAAATATATTCGAAAAACAATTACAGTTATTTTATTAAACATTCAGAAATAACAATTCGATCGTCACTTTACTTTAACATAATTTATAACTTTAATTACATTTTTCCTCATAAATAATATATTTTTATATATCTTTTATTATACAGAATAACAATGTAGTTTACACTATTGGGGCAATGCGCTATTTTTAATGTAATTGCTTTAAAAAAGTTTTTTATAAAGGATCTCACTCATATTGACTTTACAAAAAACGTTTTGTGATTGGTTACAATACATATCAATGTGTAAACATATTTTAGTCTTTTTTTAAAAAAAATAGAAAAATTATGTTACAGCTGAAAGAATTTAAGCAATTGTTGTAACTCAACCGTAATTTCATTTTTTGATGAAAATATCTTAAATTTTATACACACAGATCGTAAACAGTCGAAAACAAGCATTTTGATGTAAAATACGAATACATTTTCATAGCCAAAGTGGCGACATTTAAACACTGTGCAAAATGCTGGTTGTCCAATGATATTTATCTTGTGAAATCATTGCAACAATATGTCACGATTAACAATACAGGCTTTTTACCCTTTTCCCGTCACTTATTTCCTCATTGCTGTCGGCAAAATCATTTAGACACGCAATGGTGCCTTTTGACGCAGATGTAAAATTGAACGTTAGAATCGAGCTAGTTTTTCGTAAGAAAGGTTTTTTCTTTACCTTTAAAAAAATAAAAAGAATTAATAAAGGACTTTTTTTCAATTTAATTCTATGTAATACCAAAATTTACTATTAACCTTTTACCTGCTAGCGGCTATGAATTAAAGACATATTTTGGCAAATTAAGAAGAGAGTTAAGCCAGCTTGCACATCTATGCTGTCTAAACAGACTAGTTTAACTTTTGGGGCAACTTAATATGAAAGTTATTTGCTTTGAGAATCTTTTTCATCATCATTACGCATGTCTAATTTATAAACTAATTGAGCGGAGTATATGAGTTTATAACATGTTTTAAGGACACTTATAGTCTTGCAGTGAACTAATAAATATTGCAATGTTCATTGTAAATATTGTAATACGTGTACCTTTCTTTTAAAAAGCCTGACTTTAAGACGCTATAGTCATGAAATGAAACTTTAAAGGATAATGTTCTGGAAGGGACCTTTCAGGGGATAATCACAAACAATCAACCAAATAGCTCCCAAACACAAGGATTCAAGGAAATAAAGATACTAAGTGTTCAAATATCGATACTATTGCTATAGAAAAGAGGATGGTACATTACAGAAAGGGTGAAAAGGAAATCTTAATATAAACAATCATAATTGTAGATGCATGCACAAAATACACTTTACATGTATATACACAAACAGTGGCTTCTGATATATCTATAAATATTGATATATTACAAGGGGGACATGTATAGAAACTTTATATCACAGTGAATACAGAACGGCAATGGAAGAACTAAGAGAGTGATAAAATACCAAATGTGACCCCAGTCCAAAATAAAGAAAAACGGAATCCTGACTTCAGAAACATGCCTATACAAAGTCTAGCTTTCTATAAATATACACAAAACCACACTCAATGGTTCATAAGTGAAATATTCTAACTCTTTAAGAAATGTGTATTCAGTGTTCAGACAAATTGTTATTGGCCGTTGCTGGGCTTTGTTAGTTATCCATCACATGTAAAACTTGAAGAAAACAAAAAGTAAAACAATTTGTAATGATTCAATATTATGAAACAAGTTCTACAAAACAGAGTGTTCCTGAAAATTGGAAATCGCAGACACAATGGCCTTTTCCATGTCTTACTTATATCATTTAGTAGTCAAAAAAATGTTTTGTTTCAACTTCAACTTTTTTATCAATAATATTCCGAAAATTTTATATCAAACATATGTGATGAAACATACTGGAACACTGATTTGTCATATGTTATCATATGTTTAGTTTAGAATGGAATTTCATAAACAGTAAGACAGTTTATTGATTTATTATAATTAATTCAGAGGCTTTGTTTAATAATCACTTGAGGTCTACGTAATAAGGGACAGTCTAAAATAATCAAGATCTCATCCCTGATTATTAGAACTTGCTTTACAATAAATCGTCAGAAGAACGACCAAATTTAGCATTTCACATCGCTAAAAAAACTAACCACCACCATCACAACTGGACCATGCACGAACAAGGGCACATAACTTTGTATAACACAAACAATATATGGTTCCCGATTATCTATAGCTTACACAAACCATTTCAAGATAAACATATATATAGAGCTGGGTTGCTATGGTAACTCAACATGCATGTTACCATGGCAATATCTTACCATATCTTCGAGATCTTCTGCTGTTATCTATATTTAACACATGTTAGGAATAGATAAATTCAAATTTCTACAGTCATTCATGTAAATAAAAGATAATTAGAATTTTCATTAACAAAAATCCAAACTATTAACTTTAATTACTTCATGCATAGAATCATGCAAAATTAGTTATATTCTATTATGTCCTCTAGAGTGCAAATTATGAGCAATATTTTATCAAAGACTGTTCCACAAACTTCGTTACACCTGATGATGTTCCAATGATACCCTTACGCAAGACTCCATTCATTTTAATACTCGTAAACTCAAAAATTATTCATGCGATATTATGTGCGTTCCATCGGGAACTGTTATTTTATGTGTGTTCCATCGGGAACTGTTATGCAGCATCTAGATGCAGAAGTATCAATTATTGGTCACGAGCTATTATTACGCAGACATAAATTACCCGTTTACTACTTGTTGTGCTATGACTGCTTCGTGTACTTAAAAGAGGCTGTTTTGAAAAATAGAATATAGAGCAAATGCAATACCATACATCTTAAATTTTCATATCAAATTATCTTATGTTATTATTGAGACGAGTTTGTTAAATAAAGTTTCAGCATATAAGGAATAAATTTCGATCCTAACAATCCTAAAGGTTCTCATACTTGTCCAGACTTATAATGTAGTCATTTTATAAATTGTATAACAGTTTTTATCACATGAAAATTCACGTTAGATTCTATATAGTATGAAAATAATTTTTCTAAGAATAGTACACATAAAAGATTTTATAACTCGGAAATTCAATTTTATGATTCATACATGGAAAATAAAGTGATATCCTAAAGCAGTTCAATACATACACATGTTTTTTAAACTGACTGCCTACGTATTTGATAACAATAAATTGTCAGTCAATATGTGTACAGTATTATACATTGTATAACTTTTCAAAAGAACAGGTTTTATCAAAATGATCTTACTCTTGTTTTACAATTGTTAAATATATTGTATGAACACCTCAAGTGAACCACGTCAACAAAACTGTCATGTCCAAATGACATTTATCATACCCACTTTACTACAACTAACATCATAAAAACAGATTAACGTTTCATTTTGTACAATTCTTTCATTTTAATTTTCATTTCAAAATCTTAACATAACATTACATCTAAACTATTTACTTACTTAAAAAATTTATTCTCGAAACCTGACCAAGTAAAAAATCTTAATTTAAACAAAATAGAACTTTTAACTGTCCACAATAACAAAATTTGATAAGATAAAACAGCAGAAAATAATATATATATATATATAAATAAATCGCTCAATAAATACATTTGGACATGGCATATTTGTGAAGGGGCGGAGACAAAAATAAACAATCAACCAATCACACACCTGCTCTTCATCAGGCTCCTCCTCCTCAGCTGACGTTGTCATATTCAAATGAACGTCCGGTTGCTCCACTTCCGGTGACATCGTCTCGTCACGAACAATAATATACTCCTCGTCGTCATCAGACTCTTGTTTTGCAGATTCCGTCTGAAAACAAACTTATATGCTTGAAAATAGCATTAAAAGCTAACAGTAAACCAGTTTGCCGAACACAAATTTATGGAAAAATACTTGAATGGTCTAAATCACTTGCAAAGGTTAAAGTTTATGCGTTCTAACAATCATAAGCCCATTCAAATTGAGCATACGATGCATTTTTTTTTAATTTTTAAAAACGCCATAAGTAAACAAAAAACATTTATTTTTCAAAACAACTTAATGACAAGTATTTCGGACTGAATTCCCACATGTAATTAAAATATTTGTGTTCGCTTGGTTATTTACTTCAAAATTGTTAATAATGTATACTTTTTGAAAAAAAGTTGACTTTTTCTAGCTACAATTTCATATCTTAAATAAAAGAACTGTGCCAATTGTGATAATAATATAGATTCTCCATTACTGTACATTTTAGAAAGGATAATCATATAGGTTTGTGGTAATAATTTATTTGATGTTAAAGTGGAGGGAAAATGGTGATGTGCCCATGATGTTAGTAAGAAAGGAAAGGTAAACCTCCACCTTTATTTCGATTATTGTAAATAACTTTTCAATTTAAGGTTTAATAAAAGACATCATCGGATATACATGCATTCACATTAATAAGTTTCGCTAAATGATATCTTGCATTTATTATGAAATGATGAGGTATTTTATAAGAAATGTAATATGAATATTTTGATAAAGGCCATCCAGTTAAAAGATGTTTTATTAAGACATTTCTGAAAAGATGTTATAAATGGGATAACGTCATAATAAGTGCATGTACAATCATGTATTGTGAAAAATTAAATAAATGGCTTTGACTGAAATGTTAATTAAGGGATGTTTAAAAGGATATTTTACATAAACATTTAATAACAAGTAATGGCATAAATAATACATTTAATCCCTAAAGGTTTGCTTTCATTACCTTCAAACAATGTCATGTAATACTCCTACCAATTTTTACAATTTTTAAAAATGAACTCTATTGTAACCAATCCACAATACCCATGATGCCTGCATTTTGGTGAGTTAACTTACTTTTGATAATGTATGTACTAATTTCTATTGATAGGATACATTGCATTCAAAACAAAAATGTTGCTAAACGTGATTATAGTAGAAACATGTTTTACACTTTGTCTGTCTATCAGATTCAAAAGGAGCATTGGAAAGAGCAATCGATCTGTAAGTCAAAGGATATAAAATGCTCAGCCATTTTTGTTCAAGTTAAATACTTAATAAAATAAGTGTTGTTCTATTTCATGAAGATAAAATATAAAATCCCAAGGCCCAATAAAACTATCAGTGTCAGTAGTAATTTTGTTAATTAGGAAATATTTAAACAATGTTGGTTTAGGGTAAAGTAACATTGTATCTAAATGAGAACTAGGTAAACAAATTTTGGTGAACTACAAGATTTAAACCTCGTAATAGTCTGATCCTGAAATAGTTGACGATTTTGATGATTTTGGCGATTCCACCTGAAACACAAGTAAGTTATAAGATGAAGATGTAATGCATGATGGTTGTGAACTTGATACTACTGTTGATGGTGACAGAATCACCTAATGGTGACGGATACATCCGCTGTGTGTCATTTATGTTCCAAACTAAAACACAAATCTAGTCAGTGTTACTTTGTGGACAAAATAAAACATGTGATCTATTTTCTCATTACAGCAAACTTGATTGATCAAACAAGTCCAAAGAAGAGAGTGCCATTTAATCGAGTACAACAACATTGTGACATTCAAAACAAGGAACATCGCAATGCGATGCAACCAGGTTTTCAGCAAAATATTTCACAGAAGCTTTGTCATGAAGGGGCATTTGTTTTTAATTGACCTTTTAGGAGGAATTATGGCTTTTTAATATTCCTCAAACAAAAATGATTGAGAAATTTTATGTTGTCTATTCGCCTTTTTTTCCCAAATATTTTAGAAAGGTAAACAGTACTTTATTTTTGCTTAATTTTTGCATTTTTGCGTCTCTTGTCATTTTCTTTTGTCAACAATATTGGCGTGTGGTGTTTTGTGCGATATCAAGAAAAGTATGTTCACAATTTTAAAAAAATACTTGAATGATGTCTTGGAAGAAACATGGGAATTTAGTGAGCGCCAGGGCACTTGATGACAAAGCTTCTGTGAAAGTTTGGTCAAAATCCATTGAGAAATGTAGGAGAAGTTGCGCACTGTAGAAATTGTTCACTATATATTCTGTATAAGGAAAAAATATACAAAGGGCCATAATTCGGTCAAATATTATCCAATCACAAAACCCCGACAATATGTGCCAGGCACTTGATAACAAAGCTTCTAAGAAAGTTTGGTCAAAATCCGTTGAGAAATGTAGGAGGAGTTGAGCACAGAAGAAATTGTTCTCTATATATTCTGTATAAGGAAAAAATATACAAAGGGCCATAATTTGGTCAAATATTATCCAATCAAAAAACCCCGACAATATGTGCCAGGCACTTGATAACAAAGCTTCTAAGAAAGTTTGGTCAAAATCCGTTGAGAAATGTAGGAGGAGTTGCGCACAGAAGAAATTGTTCACTATATATTCTATATAAGGAAAAAAAACAAAGGGCCATAATTAGGTCAAATATATACCAATTGCAAAACCCTGGCAATATGTGACAGGGCACTTGATGACAAAGCTTCTGAGAAAGTTTGGTCAAAATCCGTTGAGAAATGTAGGAGGAGTTGCGCACAGAAGAAATTGTTCACTATATATTTTATATAAGGAAAAAAAACAAAGGGCCATAATTAGGTCAAATATTATCTAATCGCAAAACCCCGACAATATGCGCCAGGGCACTTGATGACAAAGCTTCTGTGAAAGTTTGGTCAAAATCCGTTGAGAAATGTAGGAGGAGTTGTGCACAGAAGAAATTGTTTACGCCCGCCCGCCCGCCCGTCCGCCCGCCGACATACCTCAATCTAATAACCAGTTTTTTCCTTCGGAAAACCTGGTTAACAAAACAAACTCTTCAATCAAGTACTCTTCAATCATGTGACCTAGTGAATATCATGATGCACTGTTCTTACAGCAGTATGGTCCGTTGTATTTAAAGATGTGCTCTGATTAACGCTGCTATCCATATCAGGCTATCAACATGTAAAGTAAGCAAATTTCTACCAATATTTTACATAAACAAAATGCTATTAATCAAATGAAGCAAAAACTTTTTTGTAAATTCAAAAAAATAAAAAAATAAAGGTATATGTGTCAAAATTAAATTAAAAAAGTCTTTACATTTAAAAATTTAATCAAGATGAATTCCATACTTTTAATAGTAACATTAAGATAATGAAAGCTATAACTGACAAAATAAACAGTACAAATGTCTAAACCTATACAACAAAACTATAAAAAAAAACAGCATTAACTTCCCTAACAAAAAACATTTGAATTCAACTGTTATTCTATAAGCTTCAGCTTTACCTGAACATTATTCTGTACTATATTACTTTTGTTAAAGATACAAACAAATATACTTCCAATCAATTACAAATACATGTACCTATAAAAAAGATTTATATCAAAAGGATATTATTAATTTCATGATTGTCTTTGAAGTTTAGAAGACAATGTTTTAAACTAAATCAACAAGTAACTGCACATTATTAAATTCCTACAAACCCCCTTCTGGTACATATACAACACATAGGACTTGACTTGAATTTTACATACCCTTTCTGACACTGGTGTTTGTGATTTGGGTGTTTTCTCTTTCACTGGTTCCGGCGTCTTTTCTTTGATCGGTGATTCGGCTTCCACAGCGGTTTCCGGCTCAGGAGCTGGTTCCTCTTTCTTTTTAGCTTTACCTTTACCCTTCTTTGCACCTTTCTCAGGTTTCTTCTTAGCCACAGGAGCCTTTGTGGCTTTCTTCTCCTTTGGCTTACCTTTATTTAAGAAACAGAGCAAACTAAAATTGAGAAAACTAACAATACAATAACATATTCTTTTTTAAGTCATGATTAGTCAAAGTTTTATTGAAATTTATGCCTATTTCTGCAAACGTGTAAATTAGATACAAATTTGACCGACAAAAAGTGCTATTATTTGAGAAAGAATTTGTGGAATTATAATTCAAAATAACTTTTCCTATCTAAATCTTAGACATATTATTGAATAGCATACTGCAACATGCTTATAAGAATTCCTAACTTAATAGAAATATAATTTGCTGTAGATGTATTTAAAGTTTTAAATCACTACACATTGATTTCAAAATGTTATATTTAAATCAGAGAGCTTTTATTATTCCATGCAAAGAGTGTTTATTCTTCAATGATAAGCTGGTTGTTAAACATATTTTTAAATTTGTAAATTTAAACATTTAATATTTACTTTTCAACACCAAAACAGAAAAACATAATATTTATGATATATAATTTGATTTTAACATCATATTTACTTTCAAACATTTATGATTTCATTTCAATCAGTTAACAATAATTTGATTTCATTCAGTAATGGAAAGGTTAACAAAATACCATGAAAATGTCATGAAAATAAGAGAAATCTGTTTGACTGAAACAAACAATATGAACGTTTCAAGATGTATAAATACATATAATGTCATTTCGTGGTTTCCTCCTTTATGCTAAAACTTATTAGTATTTTTATGGCTTATATCTAAAATAGTAAAAACCTGAAAACATAACAATAAAGCAAAGGTAAAATATGCAAGAAGCATGAAAAATATAATTAACAGCATCATGCCATAAACCAGCATTTCAAGTTAATTTTTCTTTGTTAATATATGTATTTGCGTTGTTAAAGTTATATGCAACAAATGAAAGAAATATGTTCATAACAAAAATGTTGTTCTTAACCCTCCTTACACGCGCAAATATTCTAAATTGACTTGTTTAGATGGCACAAATCTGCCAGCATATTGTGGTCTGCACTGGCCGAAAAATCACATACTACCAGCAGGCTAACGATTGATATGTACAAACACAAATATCGCAAAATAATGAACTGACTGCACATCATTTCATGGTTAATACTCATGAGGTAAAAGGTTTACTGAAAAGTAAATTTTCTAATGCTAAAGTTTCATATACCTTCCTTTAATACTTTTTCTAAATCTATTTTATTACTTAAAATGTCACTTTTTTCACTTTCTAAGAAAAGAATGCTCCGCTTGACAAAACTAAAAAGTAAATGCTGAAGGCTCGGTTCTTAAATATCCTAGATCTTGATCAATTAAAAACTGAAAATCGTGCTACAACTTAGGGTAATGGAAAACTGTGCAAGGTGAATAATGCAAAGATTTAAACTGAAACTGACCAGATATTTTCTGAGAGAAACTTCAAACAAAAATAATTCAACAAGCTATTTTTTCAAAATCTCATGCAAGAAATTATCATATAGCTAATTATAATAAACAAAGTGCTTGGAAAAAAAACAGGTCTAAAACTGAATTGTCAATGCATATCATGCATGAAAAGTATTAAGTCATTTTAATATAAACTCCAATAAAGCATTGCATGCCTATATACCTGAATCTAATACATCTAATATATCTAAAAGAAAAGTATTTCATTTGAATGAAAGCAAGACTAAATATAATATATACAGGTATAAGAATACATATATATAGAAGAGACATATAACTAAATACATACTAAAAGTTGAAGGTACATCATGCCTCAGAAATCCATATTTTTTAATCTTTAGAAATGTCAAATATGTTAAATAATGTTTTGATAATGGATTAGGAGCAAAAAAAGATGTTACAATATTATATAATTACAACTATAGAATTTAGCGCTGAACATGTAGTATATAGTAATGTGTCGTAAAAGTAGCAAAATGTAAACAAAGTAGTATTCTAACTTCCATACAAAATACTAATTCGCTACAATTATACCAATTGCCAACATAACAATTTAATCAGCAAAAGATATATCATGTATTCGGCAAATGAGTATTTTTAGAAACTGTAACAAGACAACAAAAATTAAAAAAAAGTTTTTTAGAAATTAAAATGATAGCATTTCTGTGGCATAATGGACCTTTAAAAACAATCTTTTTTTAGAAGGCATGCCAATGCAATGTTTGTGAAACTAAACAAACTATCATTCAATAGGATATATAATATATAGGACACAGCGATCATATCAGCTCAACTTTTTCTTTGAAACAAACAAGCTAAAAAAGAATATTTACTAGAAAAGCATTAAACATTAAGCAAAATAGGGGAGTTAAGCTTATATACGTGCAAAAATAAGTATATATACTTATTTTGTAATTTGGTTATATATTAATATTTTCCGTTTATGGTTATTATACATAATAAAGAAAGCAACTACTAGAAAAGCATTCTTATTGATAAGGCAAGAAACTTTTAAATATGTGAATATATGTATATAAATAGATATAGTTCCTTATGAAGGAGATAAAGCAAGAATGTATATATGTATATAAATAGATATAGTTTCTTATGAAGGAGTTAAAGCAAGAAGGTATATATGTATATAAATAGATATAGTTCCTTATGAAGGAGATAAAGCAAGAAGGTATATATGTATATAAATAGATATAGTTCCTTATGAAGGAGTTAAAGCAAGAAGGTATATATGTATATAAATAGATATAGTTCCTTATGAAGGAGATAAAGCAAGAATGTATATATGTATATAAATAGATATAGTTCCTTATGAAGGAGTTAAAGCAAGAAGGTATATATGTATATAAATAGATATAGTTCCTTATGAAGGAGATAAAGCAAGAATGTATATATGTATATAAATAGATATAGTTCCTTATGAAGGAGATAAAGCAAGAAGGTATATATGTATATAAATAGAGGTAGTTTCCTATAAAGGAGTTATATAGCAGTGTAATCTCTAATTTCTTGGTTGCATGCTTTAGTATCGTTGCCTTACGTGGTGATACTGGAACATTTGGTGGCATGCCATAAATCTTTGAGTTCTCTTTCGTATGATCCACGCCTGATGCTATAATAAAGTAGAATACAAATAGCAACCTTTGAGTAATAATAAAACATAATCCGTTTTCTTTCTTTTTTTTATAAACCCGCAAAGATTATATTAACCTCAACAAAAAAAAACACCTGAAAAAGAATGCTGAAATATACATAATTTCAACGATTTCAAACAAAGGTAAATCTTATCGCTGAAAATAAAGTATGACACAATTCAATAATTATAATTATCTAAACATGTTCAAACACAAATATCATGAAAGAAAATGACAAAAATTTTAATTAAGCAATAAAACTCAAAGAGTTCAAATTCTGAAAAATAGTACATGATCATGAAATGTAGCAGAGAGGAAAAAACAATTATAGTACGAAACAACAAAATCATATACATTTTAACTTTTCAAATGTAAAACTGTGACTGTGGCAAAAACTATTATCAAAGATTTTAACAAGTTGAAGAAATATCGCATCACAAAAATAGTGAACAAATATTGTACATAGAACATCTTAAAAATAGTAAACAATAGTATATATTTGACCTTAGTTAGTAAGGTGTTCACAATGACCATTTCTAATTCAACCACTCAATTTTTTTTCCTCCCATATTTAAGACAGTGTTTCCAATTAACTTAAAGTCAAACCAAAGTGTTCAGAAAAAAACTAGCAAAACATGCACATTCTTATTTGCAATTGAAACAAAAAAGAAAGAAAGTATTTACATCTTGTGCTAATTAAAATTTGCATTCTATATTCCATGCTTCTAACAGAATTAATATGAAAACTGTTAACCTTATATTGATATAAGGTGTATATGTGACTTCTTAATCAATGTAAAATAATTTAATTCTATTTGAAAATCCTAAATTCCCAAATTCCCCATACAATACAGGTTTGCAGAGAAAACCATTATGAAAACAAACAGTTTTCATATATGTGATCAAAAAACACTCTAGATGTGTAATAAAATCCATTCCAAACCATGTGACTTTTCCTCATGCCAATGTGATCAAATTATTACACCAAATGTGACTGCCTCTCATGCAAATGTGATCAAAACAATTGGTTCATAGAATGTGAGTTTTCCCTCTTTGGTAACGTGCTTAAATCAATTTCACCGGATGTGAAACTCATTAACAAACGGTGATACAAAAACATTCCAAGAGAATGTGAGACCTCAAGAGATCACAAATGGTTTCAATTACTCTAAATCAAAACCATTCTATTTTCAGGAGTTTGTGGTCAGGACAACAACACTCAAAACATCACTCGAGAAAAGTGTTCAGAAACCATGTCACCAGGGTGTAATCACTAAACACTCTAGAATGTGATCTTGTGATCACAAACCAGTCCGTACCAGAAATGTCTTTACTGGGAGGCTCAGGTTCTTTATCTTCCAGGTTGGATTTTTCAGGTTTGGCTTTTTCTGGTTTGGCTTTAGGTTTTGCCTTGTTCCCTGGGGTCTTAGGCTTTTTAGGTGCTGTATTTTAATTTACAGAAACAAATGTATCATAGAGGAATAAAAAAAGCAAAATATCTGTATTACTATCTCTTAAACATACAAAAACTTATGCATTTCTAATAATAAACACCCCTATTTGCAGCTAAATACTGCTTTAATGAATCTAGACAATAACAAACAGTCACAGAATAAGCTAGTTTACAAATTATAAATTTCCTTCTTGCAATATGAATCTAAAATCACAGCTTAAATCATACAAAAAGAAAAATTTCTAACTAAAATCATTTTCTTACAACATCAGTCAAGGAAATAAAATGATGTAGGGCATGTAAAAATATTCTTGTCATTTATTTATTCCTTTTCATAATATCAAAGCACATGCATGTTCAAAAACAGCATCCAAGAAGTGACTTAGATAAACTCAAGGAACAATCAAAACATGAAACACTGTGAATGCTGGAATAGTGATATTTTCTCTAGAGAAGTGAGACAATGGCAGGAAACGATTGGTGCAGTTCAAAAGTTGATTGTCATTTGTATAAGAAAAAAGGGTCAAAAACTTAAACCTTAAATCAACCTTCCAAATGGACGTTATTAGTTTAATTGTAGGATTTTTTGGTGTTTTCATATCACCTATGGGATTTTTCTTTCTTAGATTTTTTTTTAATTAACCGAGGTAAACTAAGTTTTGATATATTATAATTCTTATCAGGGCCATCATGAAATCATAAACAAGATTGCATTTGAGAAAAATGCTATGCCACCGCATGGTTCAAATTTCATAGCTGTGCATCAAAGGACAAGAAAGTAGGTCACATCATCAAAATCTAGATCAAAGTTCAATTTTACAACTGTGCACATGGTCAAAATTTCATTGCTGTACATCAAAGGACAAGAAAGTAGGTCACTGTCTCCTTGGGCAAGGCATAATTTTGACCCAAGGGTTTAATAACAATCTTGATACAGGTCCACCAAACAACATTTCAAGTCAAATATCTAAGCTATAGCTTTCTCCCATTCAGAAAACATTTGTTTTATTTTCTGTTTTTAATATTTGTACATAATGAGAATCACTGCCCCCAAACAGTGCCAATTTTTGACATTTGAACAACTTTGGTAGAGGACCTATAGATGATATTATATATCAAATATCAAAGCTCTATGCCTTGAACCTTCAGACAAAAATATGTATTTTTTTCACTATATGTACATAATGAAAATCAATGACCCCCGGGGCGGAACCAATTTTGACCCCAGGGCTATAATTTGAACAATCTTGCTAGAGGCTCACTGCACAATGTTTCATGAAAAATATCTTAACTCTATCCTTTGTAAATTTAGAGAAGATGATTTTTTAAGTTTTAACTATGTACATATAAGATAAACCTATGGCTCCCAGGGGCGGGGCTAAATTTGACACAATAGGCAAAATTTGAACAACTTCGGTAGAGTACCTTTAGATGATATTATTTAACAAATATTAAAGCTTTAAGCCTTGTACCTTCAGACAATAAGATTTTTTTTATTTTTTACTATATGTATATATTGAAATCAATAATACCCATGGCGGGGGCAATTTCGACCCCAGGGCTATAATTTGAACAATCTTGCTAGAGGTTTACAACACAATGTTTCATGCAAGATATCCTACCTCTAGCATTTGTCAATTGCTAAAATTTTTTTATTTTAAAGTTTTTACTATATACATATAAGGAAAACCAATGACCCCTGGGGCGGGGCCGATTTTGACCCCAGGGCTATAATTTGAACAATCTGGGTAGAGGTCTACCAGACAATGCCTTATGGAAATATTTAAGCTCTAGACCTTTTGGGTCTTTACAAGAAGGTGTTTTAAGTTTTTACTATATGTACATATAGCGAAAATCAATGACCCCGGGGCGGGCCCGATTTTGACCCAGAGGCTATAATTTGAACAATCTTGGTAAGGGTCTACCAGATGATGCCTTATGCAAAATATCTAAGCTCTAGGCCTTTTGGGTTAATACAAGAAGGTATTTAAATTTTTTACTGTATGTACATAGTGAAAATCAATGACCCACAGGGCGGGGCCAATTTTTACCCCAGGGCTTTAATTTGAACAATCTTGTTAAAAGTCTACCAGACAATGCCTTATGCAAAATATCTAAGCTCTAGGCCTTTTGGGTCTTTACAAGAAGATTTTTTAAATTTATTCTTATAATTCCTTTTGGTTGCCATGGCAACCAGATTTCTGCATGGAATGAAATTCTTTGGAACTTTGGAAGCCCTTCACCCAAGGAGCAATCCTGCCAAGTTTGTTTGAAATTGGACTAGCTAGTAGTTTTTCACAAGAAGATTTTTTAAGTTCACTATATAATCTATATAACACACACACACACACACACAAACACACAAACACACAAACACAGGTGAATCGCTATATGCCACCGCATCGTAGATTGCGGTGGCATAAAAATTTAATTCAGAGTGTCTCCCTGTGCATTATTTCAAGTATAAGCAAGCACAAAAGTAAACGACTATGCTTTTTATAAATTTGCTGAACAGCTTTCCCAAATCAAAGATACATGGCTTGCAGACCTTGCAGAACCCATGCCAGTAAGGTACTTATTATTTCAATGTCAGAGACACCTTGTACAGTCCAATCAAATTGAATATACATGTAGCTAGAATAATGTAAGTCATGGTCAGCAGAACATTGTTTTTCAGGTAATTTTAATAGATACAACAAAATAATCTTATAATTATATTATCTATAGAATTTTCAAATTTTTCAACTTGTTCTTTTAATTGTGAATAAGTCTAACTACAGGTTCATTTAAAACTTTGTTTGTGAAACATTCACATGTTTGTGTAGATCATCTTGTGGAAAGTATATTAACAATCTCACACATGTGAAGATAGACCTCAACAAGAGTTCTATAGTAATAAAATAAATGTGATAACAAAAACATGTTTTTATCAAACATGTGAACAAATTTTTTCAGTTTAACAAATCAAAAATAATAGATTTCAGTCACACATGTGAAATTAAAAAAACAACAAAAAAAAACGGGCCTAAAATGAAACTTATTGTACATGAGTAAAATAGTGAGATGAAACGAGACGATTACCCTGAGCACTGCAAAACTATAGTTAACACTTTTAAATTGTGATATTCAAACAGTTCAGACACACGTGATATGTGATTTCCCATACCAGCTTCTTTTGTTGGTGGTTCTTTTTCTTTGAGAACATTCGGTTCAATTTTCTGGTCAACTGCTTTGGGTGGTTCCTCCACTTCAGTTTTGACAGGTTCCGATTCCTTTTCCGGTTTTGGTTTAGGCTTTGTTTTAGTTGCTGGCGTTTTAGGTTTCTTTGGCACTGTTATATGAGTTTCACAAATAATTGAATAATACTTGTACGACTAAGTACTTAGTAATAATATCCCATCTTGTATCCAATACAAATTTATTGACAAGATGTCCTAACTAAATATATCATTTCAAAAACTGGCTTTTTACAATAGGTTAGACAATATTTTCTTCTCTATGCTAAAAATGAGCTATTTTTCAAGCTCCTAATTCCATCAATTTTTAACTATTTTATGATGTTTTAAATCTAATATAGATTTAAATCTTCATAAACAGTGTACATTGCTTGAAAAAAATTTATTCTTTCTGGGATTATGAACATGCCCAATACAATTAGCAAATTGCTTTGTTTACAGTTCATGATTGTGCCAAAGACGTGCAAAATATCGCTAAAACATGCAACGATACCAACTTGTACTGCAAAGTATGATGTTGTATTGTAAATAGATGGATATCATACTTTCTTGTATATAAAGATTTCTAAACGTTACCTGGAAACTTATCAATAAGAATCGGAATATTGAGATGTACATAGATATTATAAATGCATAGATATGCAGTGCTTAAATGTTCAAAAATAATATAAAAGTATGCATATTTATTAGTAAAGTAACCATTTTTTCTTATGGTTTTCACAAAATCGTTGTTAAATGGGTTTTTAGCAAATATATGTTAAAATATAAATTGATACATTTTAAACATGCTGAAGATTTAAGGGGTTTCATAACATTTGTAATAATGATAACAAGAGGTGAAACATGCAAAAAATAGGTGGGTAAGGGGTGCAGCAACATCGTATACCTTTAACTTCAGATTTTTCCTTGCTGGCCATGGATAATTTAGACTGTTGGGATTGGGCTGACTTCTTTACAACTGTACAAAGCAATATTTAAAAACACAACATTTACAAAATTAAATTAGTCTAAGATTGTACAATATTTACATTAATATTTGGTGATGAATTATCTTTTATATTATGTTCGTCTTCACATCATTTCTTAGCATTAGCAAAATACAATATGCATGTAAGTAAACAATAACTTAAACAAACTTAATAGATTTTGGCTTTAAATTTTACAATTACTATATCTGCATAGCAAAAATACATTTTGCGTTTTCTAGTAGAGTACGTAGAACTCGAAGAAATACACATTTCTTAATAATGTAATCGTTTGTGTATCAAAAATACGCAATCTGTTTTTTAGCAGAAAATAATATGAATTTAGAGCATCAGTTCTGCATTTGTGTTAAACAATGGTTAAAACACACATAGACAGTTATTGCAATCAGAAAAATATCTTATATTCATATTTTATGAATCTAATAAGGGTCTATCAATTCTTTTGGAAGCAAAAAATTAAAGACCCTGATCTAATATTTCGGATAAAAACAACTAACAAATATTGTGAAAAGTTTTGTGGGAGTGAAACCATGTGATAATCAAGGGAAACATTTCTTACCAGATTTTTCTTTTGTGACCAATTTTTCTTTCTTGTCTTTAACTATTGATTTGTCTGCTAAATTAAAATGTCTTATACTAATTAACAATACGTTCGTGTATTTGACAGTCTTTATATTTTGAGGTTTCGAAGTATCGCAATCATAACTCAATATTGAAATATTATTCTGGAGTATGGGAGATCACTCTTCCGATCGGAAATATTAGAGTGATCTCCCATACTTCAGAATAATATCTAAACTGACTAGTTTTGCTTTCAAACTAATGAAACTGTCTCATTATAGGGATTTTAATGTCAAACAAAAATTAGTCTTAAAATTGAAATAAATAATTCTTAAAATTGAAATGTCAAACAAATTATTCTTAAAAATGAAATGTCAAACAAATTATTTTTAAAATTGAAATGTCAAACAAATTATTTTCAAAATTGAAATGTCAAACTAATCTTAAAATTGAAATGTCAAACAAATTATCCTTAAAATTGAAATGTAAAAAATATTATTATTAAAACTAAGTAGTCAATGGTATATATAATGATTGGTCATATGACATTGATGTTGGCTAGCCTGACTATTTAATGATGGGCATATAGATATATATTGATATTACTCCTGATATTCACATGTTACTAGCTATTCTAAGCAGTTATAATATCATACAGTTACAATCTAGAATCTGCACTGAGTTAAACAGACTTTAACCTGGTTATTTACTGGTGGCAATCACAGGTGCTATCATTTAACCCCATTAACCTGCTGAGATTTGCTCTTCTTTTTAGTTTAGAGTAATTTATATGAAGTTTTGTTTTTCAATTTCAAAATATCACTGAGATAACAACAATATAGAGCCTGGTCAGACTGCTATACTGTGATGGCAAGGGTAATCACTTTTGGCACCAGCAAGGGCAACTTAGATATCAAGTTGTGACAGTGATGCCTTGAAACCTCAAATTATTCTTTTCATCATTTTGTATTAATATAAATATGTCATGCAAACAATTTGTAACTCCCCATACTGTAACATTTAAATGATAAATCAAATACATAAACATAGGCACATTACTATACAATAACTATAGTTAGTTCATGTGTAACATATATCATATTATATCTCATAAATAAGCAAAAGCTAAACATTAACTCATGAAATAAAATAATGATAATATACTAGTAATTATCATAGAAAATTTGACTTAAATAAAGGAAAATTAAATTGAATTAAAGATGTAAATGTATCATCTATTTTCAACATGAATCAAAAAGCAATGATCATATCTTTAACATATTTTGCATCTCTGATACAAGAATTAAATTCTTACAACATCAATACATTATAATGTAATTAATACATATTATAGAAGACATAAAACAGAATCTTTACAGATTAAAGGGTATAAAGCTATATCTGTTGTTATTGTTGTGTTTTTTTAAAATGAAATTCATAAACACTGAAATTAATTTGTTTCCATACTTTTATTATAGACTCCAGAAAAAGCTGTGACTTAGAATGTCTCTATAACACGTGAATCTTGTACATAAACAGAATAAAATGTTCTTTAATAAAGATTATGCTTCTATTTTCAGTAGGGTTTAGCAATAATTCTGTGCATATGTGCCATTCCATTTTAAGGAAATATACAAACATACATGCATTTCTTTCATACAGGTAATTTTGGAATAAATGTTGTTTTTTTAAATTCAAGAAATAATTTTGTACATTACAGGCAGCAGATATATTAGCTTTATACACTTAAATTAATTCTAGAGATTAATAATCAATCAAAAAATATTAGTTAAATAGTCAAAGATCAATAACAATTGTTAGAAGTAGAATTAAACATGCATGAAAATATTAGAAAATTTAAGGCAAAATGTGTTCAATGCATGAAAATGAAATTAAAAATATAATATATTACTCATTAATTTTCTTTAACATTTATTATTTGATTTTTACAATCAGATAATATTTATAAAGCAGACATGCTTAAGTAAAATAGAAATTATAATACTTATTTATTATATTAGGAGTATTTAGTAATACTTAAATTAATACTTAAATATCCTTATACGTAGAGACTCTAGGAACAATGTGTACATGTTTACATTTAACAATGCAATGTTAATTGTTCTATAGTTTCCTTGCAAACTATGTATAAATATTTGAAGGTGCAAGAAAATAGTAAAAAAAATGAAAATATTATTCAATAATAATAATTTGTTTAAAAGTAAAAATATCAAAAATACATATTTATAATTATTAAGAATACATTCTAAATTAATACATGTGACAATTTGTAGATAAATTAATTGAAAATGTAAACACTTGTTTGGTTAGTAAAACTGGTGTTAGACAAAAGTTGGTTGATTAATTTTTTTTTAATTTGAAAAAAAAAAAAAAAAAGAATCAAGTAAAGTCAAGACTATTTTAATCAGGCAAACTTGATTATTTATCTCACCAGGAATAGATTCTTTAGGTTCTGGAGCATGTACAGGCTGACTATAGAGTTCCTCCAGCTCCTTTTTATTTTGAACTTTACCTGATTGTGTATTATATAAACATATTTTGTTATTAAACAACATTTCAATAAATAAATAATAATTAACATCTATACAAATGTGGTTTTAACCTGAAAACATCAAAAATTGCATTGTGAAATAGAAATTCATGAAATATTACAATATTATGATGCTGAAAAAAATCAATATGCCACAACTCTGGTCATTTACGCACAACATATACTAATATATATGATAGTCAAATACCATAAGAAATAATTTACCATATTCCTTATTATATAAAATGACCTTTCTATAATTAAGCTATAAAAAATGTTATGCAGTTGAAATAAATACAATTAAAAGAAATAAGAATGTATAAGGAAAACTTTATCATTAATCAAGTTGTTTAAATTAAAACTTTAAACATTTGCAACAATTTTATATACCCCCAATATTTATTAAAGTATTTCTGATCATGATCTTAAGAAACCTGTATTAAAATTGGATCTAATATGAAACACTGCAATTACTGAAAGTATGTTGAGAATAAAACCATAAGTATTCCAGACACCAGACATATACCACACATCAACATAATATAACAATTATAACGCTTTTAACCAAATACCTAGCACCAAAGTTGAATAATGACAGGCAAAATACCCCTATCTAACCCCCTACATGTACCTAGCAAGAAATAAGAACCACAAAGAATATATTTAAACAGAGTGGAAAAAAAAGATGCCAGTTGGGTGTAAAAAATCAGTTGTACAATTTTTCTTTTTACAAGGTATCATGCCATACAAAAATTGTAAAATTTTATTATATCAGGGGTTGACCGCAAAACCGTTGTAAGTCTTCTTTATTTCATATAAATTACTGCAGTTTTGCGGTCAACTCCTAAAATGTAAAATTATGATCATTTTATACAACATCAAAATACAACAAACTGGCTCTTTTCCTCCCCTGCTTTACATATCTATCTATAAATAAAAATCTTACCAACAACAAACTCTTCCTTCTTTTCAGGTGAAACAGCTTTCTTCTCCGATACTTTGCTTTTCTTGTCCTCACTTTTCTGTGTTTTCCCGCTCTTTCCGCTCTTCAAACTGACTGCAGCAGATGAACCACTCTAAACAAAATATTACATAATTTAACTACCCTAATGAAAATTATTACATAGTTTAACTACCCTTAACAAAAATATTACATAATTTTACTACCCTAAACAAAAAATATTACATAATTTAACTACCCTAAATAAAAATATTGCATAATTTAACTACCTTTAACAAAAATATTACATAATTTTACTATCCTGAACAAAAATATAACATAATTTAACTTAACCCTTAACAAAAATATTACATTAATTTGAATGTTTTATTTTTGGAAAATAAAGATTTTATTATCTCTCTCACTGAAAAACATCTGTTATCATATTATGTCAGATTCTTTCAAAGATCTTAGGATTACTTTAATGGAATAAATTTTGTATTATAAAAATTATATATCATGAATTTATTTTCAAAAATAACAATTCATTTTAAGACTAATGTAATGCAAACTCAGTCTTAACATTTCTCTAATTATCAAAATCCATCTTTGTAATATATGTACAATGTATGTACAAATTATTGATTCAAATCTTTTTATAGAAATAAATATTTTGACGTTTTACCAAAATAAAGGGTCAAACACTATGCAATATATCATTTTTCAAACTATAAGAAACTATATACTTTGATAACTTCTATGTCTAATAGTTAAATAAACATACTAAAATACAATTTAAAATTTCAAATATTGATTAAAAATTGTGTGCATAATTTAAAAATGGTGAACTCTCTCATTTTTTTAAAATCTGACTGATTCAATTTATAAAGATAATTCCAATGCATACTTAAATACAAATATATATGTGTGTGTGTGTGTGTGCAATAAAAAATACTTTGACAATATCTGATTTACCAGGCCAAATGAAGGTCTACGAATCTGTAATAAAAGTCATCATAAAGATATTACAATTCATTCAACTGTTATTTAACTACTGTTTAAGCACAAATACAAGGGACCTCTACTTAAAGTTCCATTCAAAAGACTGTTTAGTAATTTTAGTTGGCCAATCCGGGAATTGAAAACACTAGAAATCCCTCTGCAAAATATCATGGCACAAATTTGCCCACTAAATAGAACCAGTCCAAACCTTCAGCTAACTAGTTTAATACCTTCCTCATACAATACAATTTTATGACAATTTTCACCAATATTTGTTGTTGTTTTTTTTGTGTTACGGTGTACCAACAAAATGAGATCATATAGCATCGAAACAGGAAATTTAATTTTGGCAAACCTCATTTGTTACACACTTAAAGCAGGACCAGGGTTCAAAACCACCTCACCTGCTGGAGCTAAAAAAGAGATGCATAGACTCCAGAAATTTGAACCCATTTAATTAGTGACCTCTTAGGAGAAGCACAAAAGGAACAAGCTCAACATGTCCGATATAGAATGGTTACCTGTTCAAGGTCAGCAAGTGCTTTCTGAAGTTCATCTTGGTCATGAGAATCTTTACCAGCCTTGCTCGATTTACCATCTTCATCTTGAGACACTGAAAGGTAATTTATACAAATGAGCTGCGCCATGACAAAACCAACATAGTGTGATTGCGACCAGCATTGATCCAGACCAGCCTGCGCATCCGCATAGTCTGATCAGGATCCTTGATGTTCACTTACAAACCCTATAACAAGTAGAGAAACTAATAGCGAACTGGTCGAAAACGCATTACGTTGGTTTTGTCATGGCGCGGCTCGAATTTCATTGTCAAATAATAATGGCACAACAATTAATGTTAACAAAATACAGTGCTTTTATTTGGTGGTTTTGTTTTAAGACACACTGATTTGATGTATTGTATTATATAAATTGTTTTGTACATGGTTGATGCTCAGAGGGAAAACTGGGCTTGCCCAAGTGTGTTGTCTCATTAAATAAAGTTGCTACTTATTTAATTACACTGTAGTGGTCATATGGCAATTTTTCAGGAGCAAAACCTTGTGTGCTCCTTCATGGATTATTTCAGGCACAAGTTTGCACCCGAGTTTAGCCACTGACATTTCATAAGTGAGCTTGTTCTATTACAAATCTTATGCACTAGTCAGTTAAAACCTCAGTCCCCTTGAACCCTTGGAAACACCAGGTACTTTTACTTTTCTAATTTCAAACCCCTTGTAAATGGTCCATCCTATGAAGAGAACCCAATGGTAAAATCCCCTCCCCCCTAAATGCATTCTTTAGTAATTTAGACACATCCCCACCATTTAAAACACCAAAACAAAACCATTGTTTTGACCTGGTATAGGCAAAAGATAAGGATTTAGCACAGCTTATTTTTCCTATCTTCCTTGTTGCCCATGCTTACAAATGACTTTTGTATTTTGTATTCAAGTACAAGTATACACTTTTTACAGAAATTAATTCAATAGATTTAGATCTAATTAATATTCTAGTATAAGTGCAATAAAATACATAAAATATCTAAAATCAATCATGTTCAATACCTGATTTAGGTTTCCCTGAGCTAAGTTTCTTTGAGCCAACCTCTGACCCTGCCTTTGATCCTTTAGAGGAGTCCTTTTCACTATCTTGACCCTGATAATTGATGATGTCTAACTCTCCTATCTCTGCTGGCTTTCTTTCTGAAGGAATTGATACTCTTTTTCCTGCTTCACCATCTGTAAAATGTTAAATAACACTGTTAGGTATTTACCAAGACATTTAACATTTCCCCTAGGGAATCACCAAAAATTCAGGCATCAGGAAAGACTAACAAAAAACGAATGGTCGATTTAACAAGATCTTATAAATCAACATAAAATTTTGTCTGAGTATTATATATCAATCTATCATAGTTAAAAGATAAACTTTAATCAATATACCTGAATAATTGACCTTAATGGTAACATAAATTATCTGGAAATAATATTTCAAGACCATTTTCAAAGTTGCTAGCTAACCATTAAGTATGTTTATATTTTAAAGTTGTTGCAACACTGTGCAGGTCATATATATGGCAATTGTTTTAGCTTTGTCCCCTATTGAAAGGAGCCCTGGGATGCCCCTATACATGAATCATTTTAGGTATAGGTGGGTATCTGAAAAAAACTATTATTTAATATAATTTTTCTTTGACAAGCTTGACACATGTAAAAATCAAATTTTTTTAGGTGTTAAGTGACTCAAAATCAGCCATCTTAACCACTCTGTCATAGAGGTCCCTTAATTATTTTAATGTTTATGTTTATGTCTATCATTCAATATAACTATTTGTTTTCTTGCTTGCTTTCAGTTAGGCTATCATGACTGACATTATGTTTAAAGTCATATGACATTGTTCCAGCCTTAATGGTCAAGGAAGACCTCGGTAGTCCCTCTAAGCATTATTTCAGGCATAAGCTGGCACCTGAGTAGACCCATAAACCCTAGGTTACAAAGCTAACCCTGTAGCTCCCACACATGATTTTTTTTCTAAAGTATACCATAATTATAATCATCAATCATTTCTATACAAATCTGGGATATGGGTAATCAAGAATTCTGTTGCACACAAACAAAACTTCTAAATCACAAACAATGCAACATCTATACAAAATAAGATAACAGAAAAAACAATGGAAAAAGTAAAGGAAGTAAAGCTATCCTGAAAATCTAGGAGAAATAATTATTTCATATTATTCTATACATATATTATAAGTTCTATAATTGTGCAGTTAACATCTAAAACATTTTTCAGTAATAAAATGAGTGTGAATGGGGAAAAGTTGTTGTTTTTTAATGTTATTATGTTGTTCTACAATTATCATAGTGCAGGTTTTGCCACCTTTTACACAAAAAATACATAATAAATGATAATCATTATTATGATATACATGTTCCTGGCAGCTAATCTTTTCCCTGTGATACAAAAAATCTTCTCCATACTAAATTATATATATATATATATATATATATATAATTATAAATATTGCATATGTCTTATATAAATTTCTATATTAATTAAAATGCATACATTATTATATTATAATAATGAAAATAAATTTCTTACATCAATGCTTGGCTTAAACACTTTATTATAAAGTGGTTATACAAGTTGCTGACTGGATTATGAATAAAGAAGAGCACCACTTGACATAGCATTATATACCCAAAAGTGATTTTATTTTTTAATAAGGATGAAGCATTTGTATTACCTCCTTCATATAGCAATCCTTCTATGAAGTTTGAATATTGTGGGCCAAATGGAACTTAAGTAATGCTCCAGGAACTGTTTTCAGTTTTAAAGTAATAGTGACCTTGACCTTGTGACCCCAAAATCAATAGGGGTGTTCTTCCAAAAATGGACAATCATCCAATGAAGTTTGAACACTGTGGGCCAAATTGAACTTAAGTTATGCTCAGGAAACTGTTTTCAGTTTTAAGGAAATAGTGACCTTGATCTTTGACCTTGTGAACCAAAATCAATAGGGTTGTTCTACCTAATATTGACATTCATCCAATGAAGTTTGAACATTGTGGGCCAAATGGAACTTAAGTTATGCTCCTGAAACTGTTTTCAGTTTTAAAGTAATAGTGACCTTGACCTTTGACCTTCTGATCCCAGAATCAAAAGGGGTCTTCTACCCAATATGGACAAAAATCCTATGAAGTTTGAATATTGTGGGCAATATGGAACTTAAGTTATGCTCTTGGAACCAAATTGTTAACGCCAGGGGGTATAACATAATATGCCCAAAATTCTTTTGGGCATATAAAAAAAACTTGCTGCCTCAGCTTAGAACCATGGATCAACTTTATCTATCATTCTGGCTATATTCTCCCATATTTCCTGTCAGCAACTGTTTTTAACTAATTTATTTTCTTATGTATAAACATGTTTATGAACAAAGAACATCTGGTTTTCAGTTTAACCCTTAACCCAATGAAATGGAAACTGATTAGCTATTGCAATAAGTATAAAACCAGGCTGGCCTGCACATCCATGCAGTTTGACCAAGCTCTTTACTTTTGCTCACCAAATTTATTATATTTTCATAGTGAAACACCTTAAACTTTGAATGGACTGTTCCAAATTCAAAAGCAAGGCAAATCCATTTCACAAATTCAGCAGGTTAAGGATATAATGTTGTCTTATCTCTTAAACTAAAATCACACAAAAAATGAGCTTTTCTTTTAAAATTTGTAAGCTGCATGGATTTTCCATGAGTTTAAAATCTTTAAGCTTCAAACAATCATGCATGGATTTTCCATGATTTTGCAATCTTTAAGCTTCAAACAATCATGCATGGATTTTCTATGATTTTGCAATCTTTAAGCTTCAAAACAATCATGCATGGATTTTCCATGAATTTTCATTTAAATTAGTAAGCATTAATTATCATCCATGGGTTTTCCATGAGTTTTGATATTAAAGTTTGTAAATAAAAGTAATTTTGATACTGTTATCAAGAGTGGTTGTATGAAAGCATGCTCTTATTGCAAATAATTCTCAGTGCTTGGATAATGTAGAACTTTGTAAGTTTAAAGAGGGCCAAAATTCTTTCAAAATCCATGTTAGAGTTATGGGCCAAATTGGACAGTGACCTCCTATTTTATAATGTTCTGAAGTTTCAATTTATTCCCCTCGGTAAATTTTGGAGATATGTTCTGGCATGAAAAAACTTAACCAAGGTCACAGTGACACAACCGTCTGGGTCAGAGTACAAAAACTCTTCCTATTCTTTGAATAGTCAAGCTAAAAAAATAGAAAAACAAGAGGGCCCTGAGGTCGCTCACCTGTATATAGGCCCCCCCAACCCCCACCCCCCCCCAACGTTGCAGGGCCAATTTAACCCAAGGGCTTTTATTTGCACAAACTTGGTAGACACCCATAAGAAGATGTTTCATGCTAAACATCTAAGTTCTAGCTCATTGGGCTTTTTAAAAGAAGATTTTTTTAAAGTTTTTACTATACACATATAGTTAAAAACAATGACACCCTTGGGGCCGGGCCAGTTTTGACCCCAGGGCTTTTATTTGAACAAACTTTGTAGACACTTACTAGAAGATGTTTCATGCTTAATATCTAAACTCTAGCTATTTGGGTTTTTTCAAACAAGATTTTAAGTTTTTGCTATACACAAATAAAGAAAATCAATGACCCCCGGGGCGGGGCCAATTTTAACCCCAGGTCTTTTATTTGAATAAACTTTGTAGACACTCACTAAAAGATGTTTCATGCTTAATATCTTAACTCTAGCTATTTGGGTTTTTTCAAAGAAGATTTTTTAAGTTTTTGCTATACACATATAAGGAAAATCAATGACCGCCGGGCGGTGCAAATTTTGACCCCGGGCTTTTATTTGAACAAACTTGGTAGACACCTATTAGAACATGTTTGATGCTAAATATCTTAGCCATAGCTCTTGGAGTTCTTTAAAAGAAGATTTTTTAAGTTTTTACTATATGCATATAGGGGAAAATCAATGACCCCCCGGGGCGGGGCCAATTTTGACTCCAGGGCTTTTATTTGAACAAACTTGGTAGACACTTATTAGAACATGTTTCATGCTAAATATCTTAGCTCTAACTCTTTTGGTTCTTTAAAAGAAGATTTTTTAAGTTTTTACTATATGCATATAGGGAAAATCAATGACCCCCTGGGGCGGGGCCAATTTTGACCCCAGGGTTTTTATTTGAACAAACTTGGTAGACACCTATTAGAACATGTTTCATGCTAAATATCTTAGCTCTAACTCTTTTGGTTCTTTAAAAGAAGATTTTTTAAGTTTTTACTATATGCATATAGGGAAAATCAATGACCCCCTGGGGCGGGGCCAATTTTGACCCCAGGGTTTTTATTTGAACAAACTTGGTAGACACCTATTAGAACATGTTTGATGCTCAATATCTTAGCCATAGCTCTTTGAGTTCTTTAAAAGAAGATTTTTTAAGTTTTTACTATATGCATATATAAGGAAAATCAATGACCCCCCGGGACGGGGCCAATTTTGACCCCAGGGCTTTTATTTGAACAAACTTGGTAGACACCCATTAGAACATGTTTCATGCTAAATATCTTAGCTCTAGCTCTTTGGGTTCTTTAAAAAGAAGATTTTTTAAGTTTTTACTATATGCATATAGGGAAAATCATTATGACCCCCCGGGGCGGGGCCAATTTTGACCCCAGGGCTTTTATTTGAACAAACTTGGTAGACACCCATTAGAACATGTTTCATGCTAAATATCTTAGCTCTAGCTCTTTGGGTTCTTTAAAAGAAGATTTTTTAAGTTTTTACTATATGCATATAGGGAAAATCAATGACCCCCCGGGGCGGGGCCAATTTTGACCCCAGGGCTTTTATTTGAACAAACTTGGTAGACACTTACTAGAAGATGTTTCATGCCAAATATCTAAGCTCTAGCTCTTATGGTTTTTTAAAAGAAGATATTTAAAGTTTTTTCTTTCGGTTGCCATGGCAATCAGAGTTCTGCATGGAATTAAATTCTTTGAACAATTTTTAAATGTGACCACCAAAGGAACATTCCTGTAAAGTTTGGATGAAATTGGCTTAGTGGTTTATGAGGAGATGTCATTTAAAGTAAAAGTTTACGGACGGACGATGGATGGACGGACGGACGCCGGACGAAAAGCGATCACAAAAGCTCACCCTGTCACTTTGTGACAGGTGAGCTAAAAAAATAATGAGTAATAAAAAATATTAGTCTTTTAAGGAAAACTTCTTTACAGATTTCGAAAGAAAGAGTAACTTTTATAAATTTTATTAATAATATAATTAAACAGACTTTTATAGATATATAAACTAAGATATGTTGTGTAATATAGAAGTTAATTAAATGAGAAAGATAACTTTAATTTAATGTTACCTTGACATAGAAAAAAGGGCATACATAATAGGGTGAAATTAAAAGATTCTTTTGGAAAATGCAACAAGTCAAAAAGTTTTTTAAAAAATGTCTGAAAATGAACAAGGAATGACTCAGAAAACAAGAGCTGTCCGTGTAATAGTATGCTTGACTTTTCTCTGTGCCTGAAATAGGAGCATAACTCTGTAAAACGGTTAAAGGTCAGAGTTATAAGACTTGTGCCCATCATGTTAGACAATCAAAGATAATATGTATGCAAATGTCTTCAAGTAGACAGGCAAATCAAAAGAAATAAATGTAAGAAAATTCCAAAAAAAAATACTCTGACAGGAAACAAAAAATGTCAGAAAATGAACAAAAAACAGATTTTCGATCTGAAAAAAAAACTTAATGAAATAAATTGTTAGAATGTTGAATTTGCTATGATAAAATATGTATAAATAAACAATGTTAGAAAGAGTGTCTTTATTCACAGGATCTGATCTCTAGAATTAGGTTTCGGCTACTCTGTTCACATTTAATGTGTAATTTCTTACCATTCCTTGACCATTGCGTGTAGTCTTCCGAGGTAGGTACGTTTAACCACTGAACCGTTTCTATTTATAGTCATAATAGTGACATAGTTATTTTCATATAAACACACATTAAAATTAAGAGAAAATCTGCTGTAATATTCTATATGTGTGAAAAAATATAATCATTCTAAACAGCTTCAAATAATTTCATTTATACACATTGTCATATCTGAATAACATCACTGTACAAGTATATAGAATGTTTTTACATTGTTTCATTCAAAAACTATTTCAACTGTAATAAATAATTACTGTACCTATAACAATAAATTCTATTTGAATAATTTCATTTTTTTTAGAACATTAAATTCTGTTTATATATTTTATTTCAAAATGATATTAAAATATGTTTTTATTTTTCAAAAAGTCTCATAATTAAAATTGTTTCTATTTTTTTACAAAACTGATATAAATAAATTGCATTTACACAATAACACATCAGGATACAGTCATTATCAGATTTGTTTTAACTGATGTAGATAATGGTAAAAGACATATTCTTTCCAAAGATAAACATAATACTCGATTATAGCAAGTGGTATACAATATACTGATTATACCATCAACATAAATTTACTCAGGTCAATAACTATAAAATAGACCACAACATAAGTCTATATGTGTAAAATATAATACATTACTTATCAAACTATACAATATCTTACTTTTTTACTACAGAAACCAAGCTGGTACATGTACAAGAAGACACTTACTTTTGCCTCCAGGTTGATAAATATGACCTTTCTCAACGCCTCCCATAGCCTCTGATATAACACGATTACGCGACCGGATAAAGCTCCGCCCAGTTTCGTCATCTCGTACTATTTCAATATCGTCGGGAGCGAGTGTGTTATTGGCCAACTGTTCCAGCAATTCTGGATCTATTTCAGCATCTTGTGGAATGTCTGACTGTTTCAAACCTGTTGCCTTGGCGACTGTTAGAAAATCAGAAACAATTCATTTTACATTAATCATTATTCATTTAGTCCAATGACAATATGAATATTCAGATCAAATTTTTAAAATCAGTACTAAACCTGTTATTGTATAAATTATGACACGTTTTGTTTGTTTGTTTGTTTCATTTTACGCCTTTTTCAACAGTATTTCAGTCATATAGGAGGGTAGTTTCCTAACCATCGTTCCTGGAGAGTTACACCAGTACTAGACTACCTTCCTCCGCGCTAAACTACCAAAGCATCCTGGGGATCGAACCCACGCCAGAGAGGTAACTGGATTAGAAGTCATCGACTCTAACCCCTCGACCACAGAGGCGGTGTAAAATTATAACACAGATGAATATTTTTGAATAATTTTAGGACTTTAATCCATGTTTGCCAAACAAGCCTTGATATTGTATAGTTACAAAGTATTCTAGTCTGAACTGTTATGAATTTAAGTTCATATATGTTTTTTTTCTTCTCTCTCTCTCATTTCAATATCAATATATTTGTTAAGGCATAAATTCTAAACAAAGTTTTCCTCAACTATCACTTAAAATACACCAAAACAACACATATTTTTTTAAATCTTTACTATCATATTACTCTAAATGCATAATTATTTTCCATCTTTAGAAGCATTAAATAATTAAATTAATTTCACTCAATTAAAACCACTTTTCTTTAAATTAAATAACATCAATTAAATCTATAAGAAATGAAAAACAAATTTAATGTAGCAGAAAAAGGAAAGTTTCATACGAGCTGTCATCAGGTTTCCTCTAATCTGATCCCTGTACTCGGCTACTGTTGGACCGGCACTGTTCCTTTTCTGTACCTTCATCACCTCTTGTATCACAGTCTGTACAGATCAAATAATAAAACACTTTAATATAAAATATATGTAACTGAAATTTAATTCAGTACTGCAACCATTGTTTTAACTTTAAATGGAAATTTATTTAATATTTCAATCATTATAATGATTATATACTTTAACTAAATTGAAATTTCATTCAGTGCTGCAACCACTGTTTAAACTTTAAATGAAAATTTTATTCAATATTTCAATCATTATTTTAACTGAATTAAATTTCATTATATATTTAAACATCTTTCTGATTAAGTTCAAAATTCATTCAATATTTTAAACATTGTTATGATATAATTTAAAATTCCATTCAATATTTGAAATATTTAAATTTAATTGAAATTTCATTCAATTTTCAAATAACTGGTTGTATATAAATCTAATCAGAAGTTTATACAGTAGTTTAAACATTTCTTGCCAATTGGAGCAAAATGGATGTATCAACTAAATTTCATAATTATTAAATATCATACTCAAGTTAAGGCTCATGTAAATACAAAGTTAAGATATTTTTCTTATCACTTATAAACAAATTTGCAATGAATAAAATTAGGAAATTATGATGTTTTAGCAATTGCTTGAAATTAAATAATACACAATCGAGCTGCTGATAAAATAATAGGTACACCTTTACATACATGTAGCACAGATATCAATTTCATTATTGAAATAAATGTACAAATGTATAGAATTATAAATTTCAAGAAGACATTAGAAAACAAACATTGTGACTAACATTGTGACTTTTCACATATTCTATAAAAACAGAATAATTGACAGTAACCATTAAGAAAATAGAATTTACTATTTGTCTTAACTTCATTTTAGTCATGATTAAAATCATGGAATTACAAATGTAAAACTATTAAAAAATATAACAAATCATTTCAGGTAAGGTATTAGTTAAACTCAGTTCTAATTCATATTGTTTTGTTAATTGTACTTAATAGCAGTAAAACAAATTGTAACTGACATCAAACAAAAAAAATGTTTCTTTAACATAAAAAGAAATTGTGTTTTATGATAATAAAATGTCTGTAAGTATATCATTTTATCAAGAAAGAAAAACATACAATTAATGACTAAAAGTGTCATCATATGACATTAATGGTGCCTCTCTATTCATGTAGTAGAGTGGGACTCCACTGAGGTTTAAAAGCCTAAAAACATAACATTTGAATTTCTTACATAAATGAGCTGGGGCACTAAAATTAAACAGAAATATATGCATAGATAGTTAAGAAATATACCTGGAAATATATTGAAAATCGTATCTTTATGATTTTGTTAGCCTGATTTGTGTGAAAAGCGTTTAACGCTTTTTCATTTTTGGGTCATTTTTTAAAAATTTTGCACAAAGATTAGTGGTCTAAACCTACATCAAATGGTAAATTTATCTGGAAAAAATATTTTCAATCCCATGATGTCAAAAAACCTCAGTGGAGTCCCTTTAAAGTACTGAATATAAAGCCATATAGAATTAAAAAAAACATTTTTAATATTTCTAAAGGTGAGTATAAAGCATATATCTTATATTAATTATTATAATGTATAATAATCATACTGTTTTGTGAGAGAAGTCGGAGTGTTTCTATAAATTATCTATCAATGTTAATACTATTATATAGCAGTTTTCTTTACCTTTTCTCATTACAATAATACAGTATTGACTCCCTGTAAAACTTTGTCTCTTCTGTGCTTAAAGTTGCATCAGGTGTTAAACAATTATTAAATTACCATAAACATTGATGGTTAAGATAGTTGCATTCTTAAACACTTTTTAAATGTTTCCTTGAAAACTTTCCAAGAACATTACACAAATTGGTTTATACATTTAAATCATAGTGCAAAACAAAATGCAAGTCAAAGAATCTTGCCATAGAAAGTCCCCTATTTAGCTGCAAGTCTCCACATTTAGCTGGAAGTCCCAACATTTATTACCATCCAAACATTTACCCAAAAATAACCACTTTTACCTTCAAATATCCATATATACCTGCAAGACCCTATAATTTACCTGCAGTTTGTCCCAATATTTTTAACACAACATCTACATTTCACAATATTATGTTTAACATAATTTCCACACAATTCCTATCTGTCAAAGCATACTAAAGTTTAAACCCCTTAATCCATGTTAACACAGACAATTTAAATAGTGCAACATGGTCTGAACAGACAATAAAATGCAAAAATACTTCCCCACAATTTAATTAGTCCTTACATGCCCAAGGCACCTATGCAGAAATCCCCATATTTCACACACATACAAGAAATTACCATAACATGAATCCAATAATAGTGCAACATGTTCTTGGTCTGAACAAACAATTATGCAACAAAACTTCCCCACAATTTGATTAAAGTTCTTACATGCCCCATACACCTTTGCAAATTTCCCCATATTTCACACAAATACAAGAAATTACCATAACATGAATCCAATAATAGTGCAACATGTTCTTGGTCTGAACAAACAATTATGCAACAAAACTTCCCCACAATTTGATTAAAGTTCTTACATGCCCCATACACCTTTGCAGATTTCCCCATATTTCACACACGTACAAGAAATTACCATAACATGAATCCTTGTGATTCTCAGACCAACATGCTATTCACAAAAAAGTAAAAGCTTCATCATAATCTTACAAAAGAAGGCTAAACTAAAATATCACACCTTACAAGACTGGCATAAATATTTTGAAGACAGTTTTTAAAAAATTGTCAAAATATCAATTTCAACAGTTGACTCATTTATTTATTCATTTATCTTTTATTTCAATTTTTTCTACCAAGAACTTGGCTAGCAAACTATACTATTAAAGATCTTGTTGATAATTTACATTATATTTACAACTGAAAACTAAAGTTTTTAAACTGTTTTAATTTCCTTGATTATTTAGATATATAAAAGGCATTATCAATTTTCCTGGATTTAACCAGTACTTGTATCATATTGTAAAGCTTGGTCAAGGTCAAAGAACTTGGTCTCACACCCAAAATTCCTTGGCAATGATCTTGTGCAGCACATACCTTAACCCATGGCCAACATTGCCTTGATCATAATTATGAAATGTTTCCATTTCTAAAAATAGCCAAAATTGCCTTTATAGCCAATTGAACAAAGCTACATAAATTTTACAAAAACTGGCAAAATAAATTTATATTCAACACCTCAAAAACAACACTTTTAACAAAAGGTGGACGTCATTTTACCAAAAATTTTAATGTCTGAAAATATAAAAAGAGAAACTGAAAAAGGTCAGAACTTATTTATATATAAAGATGATGATAAATTATTACCATAATTATTTTTTTTGCACAAAAACTGTGCAAAGCAGGTACACATATGCAGAGAACAAAATTGTTTTATTTTTTTATGTGTGTCTCTGAGGGCACGATGTAAAACAGTTTTATGCAATAACGGCCCAAGTAGTAGTACCAAACCATAACTGTCATGTCTGACAAATTAACACTAACATGTGGAAAGCATAATTTTATGCAAGAAAAGCCCAAACGCACCTTATGATTTCATGCATTGACATCTACAGGAAGAGCTCAGACTTATTAAACACCTCATCCTACAGGGTAGGGGTTAAATTCATCCTTGTGCTTTTGCAGACGTTAATGCATGAAAGATTTTTTACTTGCACGTACTCTCTTATAAACAACCATACTTAATATATCTTTGAAATTTTATACAACAGGATTCCCACAAAGAAATTAAAAAAAGAAGGAATTCTGCTTTATTTTGTTACTATAAAGTAATACTTGTTGCTGTTTCCCTTTTGAGTTCAGCATAGAAGTATAAACCTGTGGTAAACTCAGTGGATTAGTTAGGCTCCTCACATGAAGTAATCCAAGGTACCTTTAGAGAGATTTAAATGTGCTAGAAACTCACAAAGGATTGAGGAAATGTAAGTTTTACAGAAATACAAAGACATGCAAGTAAAGGAAAGAAATCTATTGGAAGTCTAAAATTTTTTGGGAAAGTGATAGGAGTTTTGAGGTGACTATGAAATAAAACTGGTCAGCCATTTTAAAAAAATACATACTGCATCTTGTAGATCTTGTACAGACTGACTTCTGGAAATGTCCCGCGGTGGGTGAGTATCCATCCAGAGGGCTGCTGCTCGCTAATTTCACAATACAAATGCAAGGTCAAGGTTAGTCAGCAGTTATCACTACAACTTGTTAGAAAAAAAGCTAAAATTCTACACATGATGTATCATTATACAGTTATATATAAATTGTTACCTTCCTGAAAATAAAGGTCACATATTACCATGAATCTAGATCAAAGGTCATTATCATTCTAAGTCAAAGATCTTGATAAGTCAAGGTAAAATGTCATCATGAATCCAGATCAAATGTTATCTGCCACATAGTTGTAACGTATGTCCTTAAAATTGATTGTATTTGAGTGTCTAAGAGGTTTTGAAATTTCAACCTCTGACCTGTATTTATAAATTCACATTTGACCTATGTCAGTAAGGTCACCATAAATTTTAAATCTATCAGGACTAATATTCAGGTCAAAATGACTGCCATATATTTATATTCCTTTGATATGAATTCATGTTGATCTTTAAATGTTTTTTTTAATAAGTTTAACATTTTCATACTATTAATAATGTCAAATTCAGTTATATTTGAACCTGACTTTGTAAGTAATCTTTCTTATTTTTCAAAAAGTTAATTGATGAATTCAGACTGACCTTCTACCTTAATTGTTCCCATTGTGGATTTTTACCTCTAGAAAGTGCATGGATGCAAAAAATGTTACAAAAGTTCTTTCTTGAACTCCTATTGAAGTGTTCAGGTGCAAATAATGTTACAAAAGTTATATCTTGAGTTTACCCTAGTGTTAGAACTATTTAATGCTTGTGCAATGCATAAACAATAAATATATTGTATGCATGATTTATTCAATATAACAAATGTGCAATACTAGAATTAGTTCAATGCTTTCAGTAGAAATCTATCATTATAAGCAATATTTTGAATTTATAAATTTCAACTCTTTCGGTAAAAATCATTACTATTTGACTAATAGTAAGTGCAATGCTTGTATTATAATTCTGTAGTTAAATACAGGCTAACAATTATTGATTTCACTATGTAATAGTCTATAAATAGACCAAGTCTTTGGAGTCTATAAATACATACAAGTTGGCTTCTATTTGTTCGCCTATCATGCTTGTTTTCACGATGTTTGACCTCTCGTGTAGCAAACCTTATAGGTGCTATCGTATTACTTATAAACTAAAAACAAATGGCCATGATAATACAAAACGAAACTCAGCATTATATATTCTAAGTTGCTAAAACTGTAATCAGCCGATTAGATTTGACATTAAATTTCAACATTTTGCCAACAATATCCATATAACTAAAATTCTTTCGTAGTTTATGGTCATATGTCTGATACTCAATATTTTCAACATAATTATTTATATATGATTATATATATATAACTCTTTCATGATTTGTGGTGAGGCCTAAAATATTGTCTGATACTAAATATTTTCAACATAATTATTGGTCATATTACAGATGGAAGACCACCTCACTTTAAATGGCATAGCAAATTAATCAAACCAGAATGCAAATACTAATATTATAAATATTTATCAAAAGTCACTCAAATTAAACAATAGTATGTTAAATTTCAATTTCAAACAAAGCAAAAGAAAAAAAGAGCAGTTTTTTTTAATTCATTATCAAATGAGTCAAATCATGCAGTTTAAATAAAAAGAAAAAATTCAATCAACTCATTACAATTAACGTATTATTTACCCGTATATCCTCCTCAAGAAGTTGGCCACTTTCGCTATGACTGAGAACGCTTTCCGCGATATGTGTGGCATGTGACGTGAGCTTGTCAATGATTTCCTGTTCAGTGACCTTTGACCTTGGTGATTCTAAAAATAGCAAATCATGTAACTATTTCAATACATAAGATTAATTATATGTAACTAAAAAACCAAGGAATATTGACATGACCTTAGTTTTTAATGTCAGATTTTCATACTTGTTATTTCTGTTCTTATTAGTGGTCAAGCAATGCTTGTAAAATTAAAATATATACAACATTGTGTTATGCATTTTAGTACTATTTTGTTAATTATTAAATTTAAGCTCTCATATCAAGCAATTATTATTGAATTCAAAATAAGCAATTAAATCACATCTCAAAAGCACTTGATTTATAAGATAGATTAGATAATCAACAAAAGCTTCTCTTTTTCTTTTCTTAAAATTCAATATTAATTAAACAAGCCTGGTGAGTAAATATTATTAATAATTCCGTAGCTGCACTCAAAACAAAGTCCTTGACTTTGTGTTTAATATCATAAAAATAAAACAAATTTTCAGTAATTAATTTAGTAATAATGCATACGGTATAAAAAGTGCAGAACTTTGTGACAGTACATGTATATCAATACAAAAATACACTAAGCTAATATTTTATTATAAGTTAGCAATAAAAACACAGCAAACATATTTTTAGAAATTAGCAAAAAACAAACATCAATACACAACATGTCAAAAAATACATTAAATTTTGTTAATTAGACAAAAATTGTAAAATTGAATCTTCAGAAGACAAAAGAGTTTTTAGACTGACCATACAGTATTATAACCATTATAACTGTCATAGAGAAATCAAATTATGCACAGTCTAGATTTGACACATCACAACAGTTACTGCTTGTTAGATTTTCTGGTTTTTAACCAATTGTAACACATTTTTTGGTCATATTTTGGCAGCTAATCCAACAAATTGGCTTTCCTGACTAATTTCTCCCAAAGTGATCGACTATTATATAGTTCTGATGCCCAGGATTTGAACCATCAGAAGTATACAGTCATAGGCATAGTATAAAATGTCTTAAAATAAATTATTATTATATAAGACTGGACATTACTCTTGTATGGTCTGATAATAATTATAATACTAACAGATCAGTCCAAAGAATCTTTAAGAAACTACCTAGTACATAAAACAGTTTAACTTTGACAACTTGAGCACTTCTGAAACTACATTAACTTTTCTGATGAAAAAAATTCTTAAGGTTTATAAAAAGGTATTTTCAGCTTTAAGGGTAAAATTAAAATACCAACTAAAAATGTATCAATGAAACATTGATGGCCGAACATCGGCTCAGGGTTTTGCCAGTCAACATGCAGACAGAAAGATAGCAGGACAAGGGCAAATCTACATGCTCGTCCCCTTAAGATGTTAGGGGCATAAAAAATCCTTTCCAAATATTACTTAACTTGGGAACGACTTTAAAGTCTAAAAACTGCACCAAGTTGGCTAAACAAAAATGACATCCAAATTTTGCTAAAATGAAAGCTTTACCAATTTGCCTAAAATGAAAATGTTATCCAATCGGCTAAAATGAAAGCTTTTTCCTAATTTTTGATTTGGCTAAAATTTGTTGTTTTTTTCCCATGAAAAATGGTAAATTACCCCAAAGTATATAAAATGCATGAAAGTTTTGAAAGTAATAAACTTCAATGAATAGATGCTCAAGAAGACAAAATGATTTTGCAGTGAATATAACATGCATAACAATTATCATAAAACATTGTGATAAAAAACCTGAAACAGTGAAAAACAAAGTGCTGGAACAGTTAGATATATAAACATGCAATGTGTGTGTGGTGAAAAAACAACATCATCATCATGCTTTGACCTCTCCATGAAACACTAAATACTGGCAAGGAAAGGCATCAAATTTTATGCTTCATTCGAAACATTGCTCTCTTCAAGATGACCTTAAATAATTACATTTTGAAGTTTACAGCTTTAAATGCCTAAAGATTGTACAGATTGTGATCATAAGAAAGTCTTAAAAGAAAAAGTCTTATAAGTCTCTAACAAAATCATATTCTTGTTTTGTATTTTGTTTGTTTTTGTTCTCACCTTTTAATGTACTTAATTTTGACTGAAGCCTTTTCCTTACCATATGAAGAGAGATTCAAAGCATAGAAAAACTGTAGTAAAAATATGTGCAAGAATATTAAAGATATGTAACAATTATTCTATAAAGTTGGATATTTCACTGCAGTTGTTTGGAATACCTTTGACATCTTCCCCACTTATCACAGACGCAGACTGAGAGGGAGTTTTCTGGGATTTTGGAGTGAGCTCCCCTGATTTTTGTTCAAAAGATTTCTCGTCGACTTTCGATTCAAGTTCCTCATGAACTTCTTCTGTTAAAGCAATCTCTTCCTCTGATTTCTCCAGCACTTCTTCTTGTTCTTCTACCTCTTCAACAGGCTCTTCAACTGGTTCTTCTACTGGTATTTTAACAGGTTCTTCATTTTCCTTTTCAAGGGTCACCTCTTCTTCTAATTCTTCTGGCTTCTGAACTTCAACAGAGTCTTCTGTCTCAATATGTGCTTCTTCTTCTATATGGTCTGAAAGTGTTGGTTCTGGTTTTAAATCAGTAACTTCAACATCTGCTTTTTCAGACAGTTTGCTTAAACTGGACTTTTCTTTATCAGTGAAATGTGAAACTTCTGTCTGCTCTCTAATGACTTGAGTCTCACCTTCTAAATGAGTAAGCTGACTTTGTAAAGGTCGGTAAGACTTGAAGACCTCTGAGTTTGGCCTTGACCTACTTTTACCACTGATATCAGACCTGTCAGACACAGGTGAACTCTGTGACCTTTGAAACACTGGTGTCCTAGGAGAGAATTTTAACTCTGATTTGGATCGCTCTGGTGACTGCCCTCTAACACTCCTGGCTCGGTCTGATTTTGGACCATCATCTGCAGCAGATTTTCTTCCTACAAAACTTGAATGTTTTAATCCCTCCCAGACCTCCCTCTCAGTGTCAAGGTCAAATGTTTCAGCGCCGTCTGTAAAAAGGTCAAAGTTTAACTATAATAAAGGTCACATATAATAAAACAATGTGTAATTGGTCAAATACTATAAAATGACAACAAATAATACAAATATATATAATTGTGTAATACTATTCTAAAATGTCAATGTAAAGTTTGATTATTTTTATTCTAGTAAAACTATACATTATATAAAACAATATTTAAACTAAAATTTGAAACTATAGTTATATGGGAATAAAGTTCAAATTCATTTTAACTATATATATGACAATGAAATTCTACACTGTCATACTAAATGACAAATTAGTCTGTTATAACTGATGATGGAAACATTAACCCTTAACCTATTGGAACAGTTACGATATCAGCCTTAATTTAATGCAAGTATAAGAGCCAGGTCAGCCTGAACATTTTTGTAGTCAGCTGTCCAGGCAATCTACTCTTGTTAGCTCAATTATTTTGTATTTCGATACTGAAATCCCTAAATTTCCAAATGGACTGTTTCAAAATTTAAAATAGGCTAAATGTATTACAAAAATTAAGGATAAGTAAAGGGTTTAAAACACATACATAAAAATATTTTATTCCAATTGATGACATCTTAAAGATGTGACACTTAAGTCGCTTGTGTCATAACTGACTGCTAAAGGTCCCAGTAAAAACTAATTTATATTGCTATACTGATCTATTTATGACATTTGAAAGCAATTGACTCTTAAATCAACTTGAAAATCAATTTTAAACCAGTCTCCAAACTGCTTTTGATATGGTAGTCTTTTTTTTCCAAAGCAAACAATAATTGTCTTTTGAAGCAGTCTGGAAATTGCTTTTTAACCAGTCTTAATTACTCTTTCTGAACCAGACAATAAATTTAAACCAGTAGAACCATGCAGTCTAGAATTATTTAACCAGTCTGACTAATAATAATAATGTACAATATTTAAACTTGAACTAATCTGAAAAATTCTTTGAGCCAGTCTTGAATTATTTTTAAACCCTTTGGACCAGTATGAAAATTTCTTTTGAATCAGTCTTGAATTCTTTTGCACCAGTCTGAAGTTCCTCCCTGAGAGATAGGTAAATTTAAAATGCAAAGCTTCCTAAGCACATGTGCATAAAAAAGAGGTTAGCCCTTTATTAGCATAATTGAGATACATTATAATAAGTGTACATTTGAGCAACTTATATTTTTAATTTGTTTCAATAGCCTACAATATTCTTTTAATTTAAATGATGATTGATCTATGGATTGTGCTATTTATAATATGGAGTGACCATGCTTTCAACTAAAAATGCTAGGTGCCAAAAGTTTAAATGTGAACACATTTGAACAACTTGGGGACAATTTATCTCTATCACAAATACCCACAGGAAAACTAGGTTCATGCAGGGACATTTGAATATGTGTAGATTATACTAATATTTATGATATTTGCTCAAAATTAAACAAAATTAAAAAGAAAACTAGTGCAGATGTACCCTGTATCAAAACAGAACTGTGTCAACATAAAGGTGCATACTCCGTTATTATACCAATTCCAATGAACTAGGTTTAGTAAGAAATACAAATGACATGTTAGTAATATGTATTTGTGGTAAAAATGTATTCAACAAACAAATAAATTAACACAAACATGAACAAATTTATACCGAAGGGAAAATTCATTTTTTCAAAAGAACATTTAAAACACTTAAGGGATCTTTAACTGTTAGAAATTGTGCAAGAAACATAAACTAACAAAATGGGCAAAATATAATTTCCCTTTTTTTCGCCTCTGTGACATTTTGTTATAATTATGAAACATACAAGCAAAACTGGTGGGTGGGGTGTTGTTTTTTTAAAGATACCTCTGGCATGTGGAAAATTAGGTAAACTATGGACACTATCAGATCTATGTATATCTCTTGGCTCATAGCTCCAGCTATGAATGGATAGTGTTGCATCTATATCACCAGCGGATAAATCTATCTCTGAATTTCCATGGAATAAACATAATTATTATAACTCATTATAATCTTCATTTTGTTAAGTACTATGCTTACATATTATACCGTTTTGTTGAATTACCATGAAATCTAAATAAATGTATTATATAAACTCCACCTATTTTTCAATAAGCCACTCCTATTATTAAAACATGGCCACACCTGCTTTTACATGGGGCCATTGTGCTATAATGGCAATGTATTTCTCCTTAACTATCTATTTAATAACTAAATAGAATGCAACAATTCAATGATTGCTAACATCCATTATAAATTAACTAAAACCTAACTATTTTTTAATTGATAATAAATACAAATACAACATTGTTTCTTGATAAAAAGTCAATATCTATAAATAGTATGTAACACAATGCCAATTTATACATATTTGGCCACACCTTTTCCTGCCATTATCTCACGCCTACTTCCAAACAAATAACCAATAGCTATATACATAACATCTATTTATAGAATAAAGGCCACCTCTATTTCTTTATAAAAATAGTAATTAAGAGAAAAACTTCTAGTTACCGGTACAACAAGTTTATATATACATATATATTAACATAACTACACGATATTATTCAAATATATATATATGGTGAATTTTATGAAACAAAATGTCAGCAAAATACAATGAAATTACTACAAATGGGTAGCCAACTAAATTCACCCTGGTTCTCACCACATCCAGTAATTGTAATTAAAACTTTTGGAGTCTGCTTTTGATCTTAAACATGGGAAGTTGAAAAAAATCACATCATGAATGCAATTTCACAAAATGTGCAAAACAAAAACTGTGGAATATTGCAAATAAATCTGGAGATTTTCTTCAACCATAGAATAAAACATTTAAGTAAAATGATACTCCAGTGACATTTAATATTGTAATAACAATTAAATAACTTAAACTTTCCTGTACTTAACTGGCAATGGAAAGTTCCAATTTCTAAACAAGACAATTCCATTACAAAAATATCGATAAGAAAAAATTAAACAACTGTCCATTGAAAAATAAACATCTGGGACCATATATTATCTGTAGATGTCTTGTATATAATTTAGTTATATGCCTTTTTTGGATAGATTATACAGCATAATATAAATGATTGTAGGATTATATGGTGAGAACAACAGTTTATATTATGCCATACAACCTGTCAAAAGTCTATTTAACAAATTTATGATACTGCACAATTACTCTCTTCACAGTCAAAAATGTTCACAAACAATGCATAATTATGTAAACATCATGACAGTCCCAATGATTGTCCAATTAAATTTGACGTTATGTTGTCCAATGAAAATGGACGTCTCAATGGTGCAGTATTATAAATTTAGTTAAAAGTATTTATAAAGATTTTTAGATTCTAAATACCTCGTTTTGACGGTTTCTTCATCTCTGTGCGGCGACCTTGAAGTTTCCATGCATCTGGGGCTTCAGCATCTGAATCATCACTTGCATCTAAAAATAGCAACACATGACATAAGCCTAATCTAAAAATAGTAGCATGCATTGATATCAATATCTATAAATAGCATTCATTATTCTGTATATGCATTCATTAACATAACACTGGGCATATCGATGGCTCAGCGCAATACTGGTCTAACTGCTACTTTTGAAAATGTTCAGGAGAGACAAAAAACTGATTTTATTAAAAAATACTTATATTAGAAAATATTTTTTTGCTATGTTAACATTAATTATAATAAGAAATAATGCCATTTATATAATTTTTTATTAAAGTGTTACAAATTGTGTATTTTAGAGTTAGACCTTTATTGCGCTGAAATTCTGAGCGCAATACAAGACTAACTTGAGTTAGACTCAAATTCCCTCTTGCAATTTGGTAAAAGTGGTACAAATATTTGAGTTAGACCTGTTTTATGTTAAATATTCTGATATAAATTTGAACAAAATTGTTTTGTTAATTTAAACATTGTTTAAAATATTTTGCAAGTCTGTAGAAGAACTTTACAAAGACTAAATCCTTTAATATTTTTCTATTAATATAGCTGACTTTAGATGAAAGTACACTTCTATAATTCTTCTTTTTCAATTTGTTTGAGATTCAGATTTTTCTTAAGATCTTTTGCAGATTATCTGTGCAATAAATTTGAATTCTAAACAAAATGCAAACAGTTTTGATTCATATAGTGTTATGAACAGTAGTCATGAACAATGTTGCCTGACAATCAATGTATATATTATGATATCATCAAAGTTTGAAAACAGGGATTAATGTACATTTTCTATAACTCACATTTGTACAAAGAAGAAACATTTTATTTTCTCAATGCACACCATTACCACCATTGGTGCTTAAATGCTGTGATTCCGATATTACTGTTATGCACTAAATCTTAATGAATTTAATGTATGTGGTCCTCTTTTCTGATGATATAATCATTTATAAATATCAAATATTTTCAAAGGGGCGTCCGTGGCCGAGTGGTTAAGGTCGTTGACTTCAAACCACTTGCCCCTCACCGCTGTGGGTTCGAATCCTGACAGGGACTTTGGATTCTTTCATGTGAGGGAGCTATCCAGCTAGCTTACGGAACGTCAGTGGTTCTACTCAGGTGCATTCCGTGCATTATTTCAGGCACGAACGGGCACCTGAGGTCTTCCTCCGCCAGTAAAGCTGGAACGTCGCGATATAACCTATAATGTGTCGATGTGACGTAAAACCCAATCAAACAAACAAACAAATATTTTCAAAAATGAAAGCCGCCGATAGACCATGCTTTTATATTAGGGATTCATAGAACAAAGTATTGTTAGCACATGATATAATACAGAATCATTTTTGTAAAGTTAGATGACTTTGTGCTTTAAACACTTGCAACCACTTACTCATTAAGATATGAAAAGGCGTACATCTGAAAAGCACCATGTGCATACCTTAGATTAGCACTAAACAATTAGAATGGATAAATGTTTGAATTTTCTCATTGACACTGATACTATACCAAAAGCAGTTGATAGTCATTACATTTTTAATTTCATTAAATTTGATAGGTAAAATTAATGGCTTTTAGATCTAAAATGAAACATTTTTATCAACTTATAGCTGTTTCTGCCACATAAGTCAAAGAGTTTTTGACAATTGCACTCTCGAAAATTCAATGGAGCTGTGTGATGTAAAAAATTATCAGAATACAAGAACTGAAAAGGTCATTATAATATATAAGTGTGCATATTTTTAATTTTTTCTGCACATATCACATCAGACAGAAAGATATTGTATCAATAATATAAGTATTGTGAAGAGTGTGATTTGCACATGTTGACACTATGTTGTTATTGTATTGTTTGAGTTGATAGTGTAAAGTTTATATTTCTAACACGACCCGCATTTTTCCCTATTGAACATAGAAGAACCGAAAGTATGTGTTATTATGCTATAAAATCACTGTTTGACGTTCTATATTTAGACGTGTGACGTTATCATTATACACGTGACGTAACCACTAAAAATGTGACGCGCTGACAATAAGACCGGAAACAAATCAGGCGCAATTTAGCTAAATATCAGGTACGTGTTAATGTCGTGTTAGAATCGAAATAATATATCCAAATCGGTGATTTTATTGCTTGATAACATTACTGTTTGTCGTTCGGATGCGCATTATTATATCACTCGGGCTACGCCCTCGTGATATAATTCCTCGCATCCGAACTCCAAACAGTGATGTTAATGAGCAATTAAATCACAGTTTGGGATATATTATTTCTTAAATAAATTTACTTGATTAAAGAGAGTGATACAGAAGTAGATACATAATTTTAAAATAAAAATAGAAGAACGCCCTCAAACCTGAAATTGTTCATTGTCTTACAGGCTAAGTTTGATTTGGCAGTGAAACAATGTACAGTCTACCCCCTTACACCATCTTAAGCAGAACACATTATATAAATATGAACAAAGTGTAAAATTAAGAATTAGAAAATCTCAGCATATGATTAAACAAAGGTCAAACTAAAAAAAAGGAATTTTTAGAGGGGGATCAGAGGTTATGAATCCACTAGTGTAACACGCGGTATTTTCCATTTTAAATGTGTGCATGAGAAACATACACTGGCTTTTACTAAATTGTACAAAAATGATAGTTTCAACTACACTTTATGTTATCAAATAATACAGTATGAGTATGATGTAATGGCTTCAAAGACAAAATAGATGTTTAATTGTGACACTAAATTATTTTTAATTTTTTTCAATATTTTTTTCGTTTACAGTTACTTGTACATGATATGCAATTTGCTAATATTTTGCGATTAATACAAAGGCAAATAATTTCTAGTGTTTTAATGAATTCTCACATTCTTTATAATACATTTTAATGGGATATGCATATTATTCTCTACCTGGAAATGAAACATTCAAGGTCTAACTCAAGCATTTTTGAGGAAAATTGATGTATTAGACATCGCAATAAGAGACCAACTCAAGTTAGACCTATATTGCACTGACAAAATTGAACTACATGAGATAGACTTTTATTTTAAATGTAAATAAAAAAGGCAAAAAAAGCAAAAATTACACTAAAATTTTCACAGAATGTGTATTTGACCTTACATTATCAAAATATGTAAAAAGGTGATTTTTGGTAAAAATGTCACTTAGACCAGTATTGCGCTGAGCCATCGATATATTTATGAAAGATTAGGTAATAAAATTTACAATTATGTATATAATGTATATCTGTTATATTGTAATTAAAAGAAATTTTTTTTTTTTTTAATTTAAAGAGAATAGCATAAAAAGATTATAGATATGAAATTCATACATGTAAAAGAAATAAAAAGTTTATTGAATAATTTGTGCATACCTTTAGATAAAATTAAAAAATAAAACAACATTAGGTAACATTGAAACAAAAGAAGTCACAAAACTACTCCTCTTCCCTATAACATAAAAAATAACAACAAAAAACCCTGTCACTGTCAAGTTTGGTAATGAAAACAAGAATATCACTTTGTTACATTTCAATCAAAAGCTACAAAAATGCCAATTACCTTAATGTTTTTATCAAAAACTTGGAAAAAAAACCCAATTAAAAATCAGAAAAAGAGCAGCAAGTATTGTATGAGGGTAAGCACTTTTTGAAGACAGGCACTTTATGAGGGCAAGTACTTTACGAGGGCATTAGTATTCTATGAGAACAGGTACTTTATTGAGACAAGTATTTTATGAGGGTAAGCATTTCATGAGGGTATGATTGTAACCTGAAATAATTTTCAATAAATGTCAGTGACATTATATTGTATAGTACTACACTGGACACCATGGTAATCTGAATGTGTGCTTAATGAAAATGTCCTTGCTTTTAAACCACAGTAGAAAGGCAAAGTTTGCTTTTAAGTTACATTTAAAAAACCTGTAAAGTAAAAGTAAAAGACCTGGCTGAAAATGTTCATGATCGTATGTAACCTTAACAACTCGGCCATGGACGCCCCACATTAAGACCTGTCTGAAACTATTTTGACCTGTTACCACTTGGTTTAAAATATCCTTTAATTTATGATACCTATAAAATCTCAGGTTAAAATGTTCTTTATTTCACCTTTCAGACTTGTCTAAAACTGCCTTGACTTTAACAACTTGGTTAACAATGTTTTTTATTTTATCTTACCTATAAGACCTCGTTAAAAATGTTCATGATTTTACATAACCTTAAAATTCTTGATAAACATAATCTTGATTTTATGTTACATACAAGACCTGGTTGCTTTTAAGGTCGCTGTAAGACCTGGCTATAATAGTTCATGATTTTAAGTTCCCTATGAACATGTCTGAAAATGTTCTTTATTTTATGTTACATAATATAAGACCTGGTTGAAAATGTTCTTTATTTTATGTTACATAATATAAGACCTGGTTGAAAATGTTCTTTATTTTATGTTACCTTTAAGACCAGGTTGAAAATGTTTTTTTTTATGTTATCTGTAAGACCTGGTTGAAATTGTTCTTTATTTTATGTTACCCGTAAGACCTGGTTGAAAATGTTCTTTATTTTATGTTATATATAAGACATGCTTGAAAATGCTCTTTATCTTAAGGTACCTTAATTAAAGACCAGCTTGAAAATGTTCTTTATGTTACCTATAAGACCTGGCTGCAAATGTTCTTTATTCTATGTTACCTGTAAGACCAGACTTTAATAGTTCATGACTTTATGTTAACTACAAGACCAGGCTGTAAATGCTCTTTATTTTATGTTACCTGTAAGACCTGTCTAAAAATTTCTTTAATTTATGTTACCTATAAGACTTGGCTGTGAATGTTCTTTATTTTATGTTACCTTTAAATGTTCATGATTTTATGTTACCTGTAAGACCAGGCTGTAATGTTTTTTATTTTATGTTACCTATAACTTTTTCAATTGACCCGGCTGCAAATGTTCTTTATTTAATGTTACCTATAAGACCTGGCTGTAAAAGTTTTTTCATATATGTTACCTCTTAGACCAGAGTTTGATAGTTCATGATTTTATGTTACCTATAAGACCAGGCTGTAAATGTTCATGAGGATCATGATAACTCTGCTGTGAAGCCCTCGCTGACAGTTTAACCGATTCTCCAACTTTAATTACTGAACCATCAGGTCCGTAAATAATGCTGCCCTTTGTTGAACCTACATCTGCATCTACTTGGCTACCAGCTACACAATAAATATTGCAAAATAAAGTAAATAAAAGTGCAACATTAATGCTATGATCTATTGCCCACATTGCCAAGTAAAAGACAATATTTTCCCACACCTATCATAACTGCAGGAACAATACAGTTTGAGCTTTATAAATGACTAGATATTGAAATAAAGTAGGTACATGACTGTTTGCCTTTTGTATTTCAACATTTGTGAATGTTTTATTCCATGATAATAAAGTATGTAACTTTTTTTTTTGAAAAATGAGTGAATAGCTTCCTTTACTTGGCAATACAGAGAGTTATAATACTATTCGACACTGATAAATATGAAACTCTTCAGTCATTATACTCATAATATATTTTTTCTGTTTTAAGTTCAATTAAGTATATTGGTCATTGATAAAAGTTGATGTTCTATTCCATATGTATGATTTTATAAGGGTATTTTGGGGGGGGGGGGGGGGGAAGAAGGCAGGTCTATGCATTGGTTCTGGCAGCCATCAATAAGTTCAAGTTGATTCAGTACTTATACTTAAGAATACCAAATACCATTTCAAGTACTAATGAAGAGTTTCATATAATCAAAATAATTTATATCAAAAGCAAAAGAAATATCCATTAAGCATGATAATAATAATATAACTCATTAATAAGCCCTGTCTTGTTAGTTAAAAAATATTAATATTCATAGTTAGTAAATTATCATATAATTATTCTAGTAAAGTTATACATGTATATATTGTTAATTCCTATCCATGTAAACCATATTAAACCACATACCATTATTTTTTACATTATAAATGCATTGCATATAATTTATTATATCTTTTAGTTTACACAAATTTATTTTAGTTCAATTGTGTTGGAACCTATAAGCTTATGAAAATACTCAAATCTGTTCCTGGAACGAACCAGTGCTATATAAGCAATCAATGTAAAGTTTCTGGCTCTTGACCCCAACAGGGTTTGAACCCACACGGTCAGCAATCCTTAGATTACTTAAGTTTGATGTGTTAACCACTTGGCAAAGCTGCCACTAAAATTTATCTTTTTATCACACTTTCCTTAAATGACATTTTTTCTAAAAATCTTTTTATTATCTTTTTGGCCTTTTCAGATATAATGTAGAAAAATTTTGAAAATTTCAAATTACCTAAAATCATAGCACATTACCATATTCTTGAATTATGACAAGATTTTGATACTAATTTTTAATATGATAATTTTTCAAAATATTCAATATTCATGTGAAACTATATCCATTTTAAGATAATTAATCTCTTGATTAAAATGAAAACAAAATTGTCTAAATATATGCTGTATAATAAATCAATTTCTCATCATTTTAAACTAATAAGACTAATGGACATGAACATAATAGAAGGAACAAAATGTAAACACTGGGGTAATGCAGTAAAAAAGGAAATTAAATTTTCTTGTAATTTTATATCTTGATTATTTCCCCTTGTGAAAATTCTGCACTGAATTATAATTAAAACAAAACACAGACAGTTTGTTTCATTTTACGCCTTTTCCCAACAGTATTTCAGTCATATAGGCGGGTAGTTTCCTAACCATTGTTCCTGGCGAGTTACACCAGTACTAGACTACCTTCCTCTGCGCTAAACTACCAAAGCATCTCCTGGGGATCAACTTGACCCACGCCAGAGAGGTAACTGGATTAGAAGTTATCGACTCAACCCCTAGACCACGGAGGCGATCTAAACACAGACAGGGATGTTTTATTTGATCAAAAGACTTTCATCACCATGGTTTTTTTAATATTTATGATAATAACATTGCAATTGTATTTATGTTAAATGTCGGGTAGATACATGTATTTTTTTCTTAAAGACATAATAAGTAAACCAATTAGTTATCGAAAGGAACACACAATTACATATTCAAGTTAATTAAGTATTATAAACCCTTCAACTGACAGAGAAATCAGATCATTGATCAGAAATAAGTAAAACAGAACAACATTATAGTTAATATAATGGATAACTAATCCACCAAATATGACTTTGAAGATATCAGTTCCCTATATTTTTCATAGTACAAGAAACAATGGTTAAAAAACACAGCCCTTTCATTATTCTACACTCTATTCACAAAATATATGTCAATATTTTCCCTGAAAGTTTACCAAGAATAAATATTCATAGACAAAGAACCATTTTAAACTGCCTACTTCTTGACTTACATGTACAATTACTTCCAGAAGTCTTACTACTCTTTACTCTCCAGGGAGTGGCAGAATTGTAGGCGGAGCTATGCGCAAGGAAGTGGGAGGAGCCAGGACTAAATTTAGGAAAACTGGGTATTGTGATTGGCCAGTCTATATCAGACTCTGATGAATCAACGTGGTCAACTTTGATCTTTATTAAATCAGTGTCAGAGTGCCTGTCAAAGTCTGTGTTGTAAGTAGTTTGACCAAAGGAAGGATTAAATGAAAGGTTGCTGAGACTTGAAGATAGTCTCGTTTTACTTTTTGTAAAATTTGAAACAGGGAGGGTGTCAGAAGAAGTAATTCTATAAATGTCTGAAGACAACCCACTCTTTGTGGTCCTTATAGATTTAGATGACTTTTTAGCGGTTTTCTTTTTCTTAGAGGAATATGACCCATGTTGATTAGAAAGGGAACCAGTGCCAGGCACCTGATCATAATCTGATTGGTTCCCATTCTCAGACTGGTCCCAAGTTTGACTAAGAATATCAGACTGGTTATCTGTAACCATGGCTGCATTGTAGGATTCAACATGAGAATCAGACTCAGTAAAATCAATGGATTTTTCAGGCTTCCGTTGGATAGTTGGCACTTTAAGGATGGACTTTAATTTGACTGGTGACCCTGACAGATCAGAATCAGACGAGAAAGTAGTGCTGGTACTTTTGGATATTGGCCTAGATACAACTATTCCGCCACTTCCCTTCAGTTTTGTTTCCGAATCTATAGTAAAATGATATTGATTAGTTTAAAAAGGATCTTTAAACTTGAAATAAGTTTAATGCTATAATTATATAGAAGCATTAAATTTTGATTAAAAAAACATAACATTAACTTATAATTCTTGCACAAAAAACAATGAAATCTGTTATACATGTAATTCATCCAACTTGAATTACATTTCATTAAATTTAGAAATCAAAATAATAAATATTCTCCATTTTAACATAAAGAATTGTAAGTCTTTCTACAGATTTTTAACTTCATACCAAATGGCTGTGAAAATATATTTGAATTATAGAATATAAAGTCGAGAATTCAATATTTCAATTTTTGTTAAGATTTCCTTAACATTATCAGAAAAATATCCTGCTAAAAAGCAACAAAAACAGTCATACACAAATCATGTAAATAATTATATTGACAATATAAACACTGTTACATAATAAAACAAAAAATAAAGAAAACACAATATATAAATAAGCACTGACTCAGTTCTAAATATAGTGAAATAAGAAACTCAAAACAAAATAGTTAGAGGAAAATTTTGTACATAAATTAAGATTCTAATTATTATTATACCCAATCAAAATACATACAAAAAATGATCTATTTGTAATACAAGTTTAATTGAATTTTTGTAACCCATACACTCCTAAATCTGTATAATGGACTTATCTTGCTTTGAATTTGGCCCAGTCCATTATTATTTGGTAGAATATTAATAAAAACAATATGGCCAATTTAGTAAAACTGGTTAACTTGCATAATTATATTCTGTACATTTTATTTTAGAACTATCCTTTACATAATTTATTTTTTAAAATGTCAAAAACTATCTTGTACATTTTATTTTAGAATGGTAAGAACTATCCTTTACATTTTATTTTAGAATGGCCAATGCGATTCCCAAATTTCACTTTGTAATTTAAATTGACAAATGAAAATTCTTCTTATATTCAGTTCTTCCCTGTATGTTTTACAGGAAGTGGAACTGATTTTAGATGGCCTTTGGCCAAAAAATAAGACTTGATCAAGGGTTTAAGAGTCAGATGACATTAAGGTGCTAGCTGTCAGGCCAGACTTTATACTGATTATAAGCTAAATTGCACCCTGCTCACTATTTCTTAATACCTGATGTGGATATAAATTTTCCTAATGGAAAATGTTTTATTTTGTTTTGAATTTCTTGATTCAAATACACAATACACATGGACAACAGCATTACATATATAGACAAGCACCTAATGAATAATTTGTGCGAATAAATTTTCTTTCTTGGTTTTGTAAGTGCAAATAATCTATATATTTTTAGTCTGTACGTAATTATGACATTTTTGCATTATAACTACCTGATAATATAAATATATTTACTTTATTTCAATATAAGCATACAAAAACTACAATGAGATAATTATTCCACATACAACATTAACCATCATACTGGGAATACAACCTCATTTCATATATTATGCTTTGTGCAAATTCATCAAAATTAACCTAGTTTCAAATCCTTTGGTGTACTTACATGCTCTTCGGGATCCATGGCTCCTCAAGCTCTGCTGACTCCCTTTCCATTGTTGTTTATGCACAGGTGGTAACCAGCCAGAAGAATGTGTGCTACCAGGCCCCACACTGTCACTGCTGGAGAAGCCCGCACCTGCTGGTGCACCTGCAATATAAATACAGAGCAACAGATAAGGTGCGTATTTGCGTATTTACGCAATTAATTTTAGAAAATACGCAATTGATTTTTAAAGAATGCATATCAAAACCCATTAAAAAAAATAGAATACGCAATCACAGTCTTTAAAACCCGTGCGTATTGTCATTTTCATCACCGCAAGATTAATCTGTCGTACGGCTTTTTTTGGACAAATTTTATCGATATGCATGCTATCCGAATATTCCCGAATCAATGATAACTAATCAACGGTGTCCGGTCTTCGACGGTCCCCGGTCTCCAATGACCGACTAAGCCATATCAATAAAGCATGAGACCGTCGATTTGTCTACTCAGGTCGACAGTCTTTATAGACTGGCAGAGACCGTTGATTTTGCGGACCGTCAATAAGTAGGTCCCAGCTGTATCAATAGACGCTTTGAAAGCAATACGGCGTCGTGCAAAAGGGAAAATGATTCGTAAATAATACAAAATCAGTCAGAAAATGAATTTGTTAAATATATTTTGAAATATAACATGAGCATTTTATATAAGAAATAAAACAATTGTGAAAAGTTCTAGTAAATTGTTAATCCTATTTTCTTTTTAAAACCGTTTAAATTTTATTGATATTGAAACCATAAAATTTATATCTTCATAATTGAATACCCAATTGATCTTGAAATCATAGGGTATCGAGTTTTGGAATATCCAATTAAATGGAGCCAATACCCAATTCCAAAGGAAATGATGGAGTAATACCCAATTCACTTTTAATGCTTATCTGTTGCTCTGTAAATAATAATAATACTGTAGTAATGTACATTGCAAACTTTACAGAGTGGACCCCTGCATGGAGTAATTACCTCTTTATAACAATGGTAGCAATTATTCCTAAAGTAGGAATTCACTAGAAATGCTTTTCACACAGCAGTTATAACCTCCCTTAGAGCCTTTCCCAATATCATATGCTTAAGATAAGATTCTCTAATAATTCTATTGTCTTCATGAGAACTGATGAAAAATCTTTTACATATTACTTCTATAATAATACTTTGCTGCATATGTATAAAAGAAACTGACAATTCACAAGTAAATAAGCTGTTTATAGTGATGTATTTTGTCAATTACATTAATAGAATATTGACCCTCAAAATGGCTGCCACTTTTGGGAAGGGAGATAAAAATTATAACAAGAGCAATCAGTGATCATATGTGTCATGATAGCCAATTGCATGTTGCAGCTACTGTGTAGCAAGAGTAACACAAAAATCCTTAACAGGGCAAAGCAGTTTCCTATAACCGGAAAACCTGTGTTATATGCACAAGTAATTGAGCTACTGACCATGCAATCCTGTAAAGTTTCATTGAAATTGAAGCAGCTTACATGGTATAAGAGGAGAAAGTCCGGACAAACTTTCAAAATAAAAAACATTAAATAAAAGGCTATAACTCTAACAAAAATCATTGAACTTGAAAATATTGAAGATATGTACAATTAGACTTTGTACTGATCATTCCTGTAAAGTTTGGATGAAATTGCTTCAGTAAATTTTGAGGAGTTTAAGTCTGGAGAAGTTTTGTGACAGAAGGACAGACAGACAGATAGACGGACATATGATGGAAAAGTGATCCCTATAATATATCAAAACCATGTAACTCTGTAGAGATTGTCCTGTAGTACCTGCTTTAAAATGCTATCTCATCCTTCATTAACTGTGCTATATTAAATACTTGATAAATTTCTCAAAACTACAAAGCAAGTTTATAATATAAAACAATTAACAGAATTTTACCATTTTTCAGTTGTGTATTGTGCATAGACTTCCATCGCGCGTATAGAGCCTTCATATCTATTTAATATCCTTGTTAAATCCCAATTTCAAATAATTGTTCGAATAATTTTTGTACATGCAATTTACTTTAAGCACGTCAACACAGATAAAAGTATCCTCTTTTCCTGTTTTCTTCTTAAATTTAATAAACGGAAAATCACTTTTAATTTTTTTAACTTTTTCTTAATAATACAATCATGTAAATAAGAAATGGTATCTTTTTTTAATCTTATCATGGAAATTTACATTTTGTACTAGTATTTTTCTCAACAAAAAAACAAGTCTGAAAATGACTTTCCTTCTTCAAGAATTTTATTATCAATCTTGAACATTTATATTAAATATATCCCATACCATAAAATGTATAAAACAAACAATTTCTAATTTCTCACTATATACTAAAGTGTTAATCCATTTTTCACAATTGATGAGTTATTATAGAATTAAATTCACGTAAAACTTTGAAAAAATACCATAAAAACATACAGCAAATAACCCTAGAGCAAATCTTTTACACATTTAAATCATGCATTAAGTGGACCATAATTATATCTTAAGTGTCCAATTTTGAATGACCATAAAAGTTGAAATTTATTCCAAACAAAGCAAGATATAAATTAAATTTTATTGCCCTGTTTTATTGCCCTTAACAGCTTGGCATGAACCTTTTTATATTTAAAAAGCCATTACAAAGTCTAGCAGATATTAGGATTTTTCCCTAATTTTACAAAGATAGAAATATTCTATGATAAGTTTGTTTGTTTGTTTTTGGGTTTTACGACACACTGACACAGTATCGGTCATATCGCGACGTTCCAGCTTTACTGGTGGAGGAAGACCTCAGGTGCCCTTCCGTGCATTATTTCAGGCACGGACGGGCACCTGAGTAGAACCACCGACGTTCCGTAAGCTAGCTGGATAGCTTGACCTCACATGAAAGAATCCAAAGTCCCTGTCGGGATTCGAACCCACAGCGGTGAGAGGTAAGTGGTTTGAAGTCAACGACCTTAACTATGATAAGTAATATGGCACAAAATGCTGAGAAATTTATAAATCATTATAATATGGATGTACCAAATCTTTCCCATTTGTTTGTTTGTTTTGTTTTGCTGTGGAGTGAAATAAATGAACTAACAAATTACACTGTTGATTATTTTTTTGTTTGGTTTTTACACAGATCATATATCACTTTTTTAAGTAAAACATTCTATGTTACAACTGTTTTGAGGAATCTTCCATTAGATAAATTAATTGGCCCCTTGTGGCTCAGCAGTTGCCTTTTAAGGATTGATCCATAAGAATTACAGCCACCATTTATCAATGTGAGTTAAATGTAAGACTGGTGACAAATTGGGTTTGAATAACTGGTGTCTATATATCTCTTAGCTCAAGCAGGTGGAATGGTTTTGACCATTGGCGTTGCTTTGATGTTTGAATGCCGGAAATGAGCCTTTTCTGTTTTGGCCCTATATGACCTAATCTGTGTTGGTGTGTAGTAAAACCAAACTATTGAAACATAATGATTTTACCGCTTTTAAAAAATATTTCATTCTAAGATATAGCTTTTACACATTTTCAAGAATATAATTATATAAATTCTATGTAATAGAGAGAACTTTTTTTTAATACATTCCAAAAAAAACTTATTTCTCATTCTAAATACTGCAATTACGTGACTTCACAATGAAGTCAATCTCTCTAACATTTTCAATACTTCACACACAATCTAAAAACTCTTAAAAAGTTTGATTAATTTCTTTAAGTGCTCTTTAAATTTATTTGTAATACTTGAGCAAACAGCACTGCTGATAAAAATGTCATGAAAGTGAAAGAGTCAGAGTTATTACACATTTCAGCCGTTTGACAGTATGTGTTTTCTTTTTCTTTTATCCATATTTATCCATTTTAATTTGAAGACTTAAGCAAATAAAAAGTAACCTTTTTGAACATTCAGCAACCATGTTTTGCGGGGTTGTATTTTATGTCACACCAACACCATAAAGATGACATCAGCATGATTAATTCAGAGCTTTCAAATTTGAAAATAATGCCAAATTAGCTCATTATTGAAACTTCAATTACTGAAAGAGTTATCTAATTTAAACAACTACTTTTTAAACTTCCAAGTTACCTTCAAGGTCAAGGCTCTGTGCCGAGACCCGGGCTTTTCGCTTCTCTAACATTTCTGTCCGCCTTTTGTCATCACTAGTATCAAGGCTTGGCGCCTTCTGGTCAATGTGTTTCTCCACCATTCTACGACCAGCCCAATCTTCACCATCATCATCTACAAACAAAGAGACAAAGGTTCAAGGTCAAATAACTTAATAAAGTTCAAGTTTGTCACACAAAAAGCTTACGATATTGTTAAATGCAGCGAATTAAACTTAAAATTTCAAATAAAGATTTTGCATAAAGATAACATCAAAATTAAGCTGCAAAATATGAACTTGTATACATATGTAACAACATTTAGCTTTTTTGTTAATATGCATTAAATATATACTAAAAGCATGGATATAATAATTGGTGATATATACATGTATATTACAAAACAAAAGCATCAAATATTACACTGATAAAACTTCAATGACATGTACTAAAGTGAATAATACCATTATCAAAATGTCAAGTTGGAAATGAAAGAAATCTGTTTTTAATGATATCACTTTAAATGATTACAATGTATGTTATCAGAGTATGATTTTGTTTGTAAAAATATATTTGTAAAATGTTATGCAACACAAATTTGACACACACACTCAGGAGTTAAGACATACAATGCAAACCCAATATCACCAATTTTCACCTTTTTATAACAAACATATCAATTCTTACTATAAAGAAAGACTTTGCAATAAATTTAACCTTAAATACCAGCTGCTGAAGGCAAAAATACATTCGTGCAATCTGGCCAGGCTCTATACTGGGTTGGCCAACTTAAAAAATTCTCACCTTGATATACCTAAAATTGATAATGGACTGTTCCAAAATAGAAATTGGAAAAGTCCAATTAAGAAATTCAACAGGTTAAGGGTTAACCTCACTAAGAGCATTTACCCCTCTGACAGCAACAACCAAAACGGGTATTATAGTTTCTCTGCAGAGTTTGTACTCGTCTACTATTTTCATTTAATGCAGGTATATTTTGCTCAGACATTTAGCAAACACACACAACGGAGGCACACCAATGTTTTCATATAGTGCTGTGAAAACCATGTTCAAACTAGCCAGTTTGATCACTTTCCTTTTAATTATGCTATGTCATTAAATTTTTTTTTTGAAAAACTGTAAGTCATTCTACCATAATGGGATTTTAATAAACTGTTCTGATACAGGAATTTCACTAAGGTCACTCTTTGAATTATTTTGAATAGCACCAATACTATTTTATAAACAATAATTTATATATCAAACAACAAAGTGCCTTAAATAATTTACAGGTACCTGCATTGCTTCTTAACACATGTATCAGAAAATAAATATTCATTGTTTACTTTTCATTTTATTATCGTCCATTTTGTCTACTTTTCTTAATAAAAGCCATGCTAAAATTTTTGTTTACTCCCAGATCTTACAATTACCAATGATTTTGAATATTCTTTTACAATATTAACTGGTTTTGTTTACCTTTTTTAACAACTGCAATATGTGACTGTTTACTATTTTAATTAGTATACGTGTTTGTTTACACTTATACAATAACCTCGACTATTATTTAGATATATATATTTGTTAAGTTATTTATACCCATGACCTAGACAAAAATTGGCCACATTGTTAAAAGGTAGGTTTAAATGGTATTATGGTAGACTTTACATTACAAAGCAATATATTAAAAGTAAGACATTAAAAATCTTGTGGATTTAGATAAAAATATTCAGGCCACTTGACCACCCACATCAGCTTTTGTAGGAAAACAATTTAACCTCCCTATTGATAATAACTTTCATAACAAGAGCTGTCCGTAAGACAGCGCGCTCGACTTTTTTATTGCTTGCCAATAAAAAAAGTTTTTGCAGTAAAAGGCAATACAAGAATCTCTGTATTTTTAAAGTGAACAATGGCCATGAGCATTAAGATATTTAGTGAAGAATTATTTTACTGAATTGTGTGATAATAATAATTTATGGTAAAGTGAACAAGTGGATAGGAATGAATTTTTTTAGATTTTTTAAGTTTTTTAGTGCTTGCCTATAATACAAAACATTGACAGTTAAGGGCCATAATTCAAATAAAATCTTTGACAGAATTACCTTCTCCTGGACATGTTTGGGAATCATGATTGTAAACAAGTATTCCAACTTTCAAATTAATATCTCAAACAGTTCAGTCAAAAAGTGGACTGGTACTAAAAACTTAACCAAGATTCTAAGTCGATAAAAGGCCTTAATTTTTAAAAACAAATCCTTGACAGAGTTACCTTCTCTTGCGTACAGATGGGGGTAATGATGTGAAATAGCATTAAAAGTTTCAAAGCAATATCTCAAAGGGTTAAGGCAATAAGTGGATTTTACCCATATTCAATGTATTTTCTAAGTCAAAAAGGGGCATAATTCTGTCAAAAACCTTGACAGAGTTATGTCCTCTTGTCTGTTGATGAAGGTCGTGATGGTAAACAAGTATGGTCAGTTTCAAAGCAATACCTCCAATGGTTTTGAAATAAAGTGAGGTGGTACAAAAAACTTAACCAAGCTCAATACACTTTCTAAGTCAAAAAAGGGCCATAATTCTGTCAAAAACCTTGACAGAGTTATGTACTCTTGTCTGTAGATGGAGGTTATGATGGTGAACAAGTATGGTAAGTTTCAAAGCCATACTTGTAATACTTCTGAAATAAAGTGGGGTGGTACGAAAAACTTAACCAAGGTGTGACGCCGACGCCGACGCCGGGGCGAGTAGGATAGCTCCCCTTTTCATAGAAAAGTCGAGCTAAAAATTGGTATCACTATCCAATTAATTTTCAAAATCTATTAATAGAAACATCCACAATATGACTGGAATATCAACAAGAGCTGTCAGTAGGACAGAATGGTCAACTCTTCTAATTAAGTGCTTGGTAGTAAATGAGCCTGGATAATGCAACAAACATTTAGAGGAAGATTTCATGTAATACATAACACAGTAATGGGCCCAGTGGAACAAAAGCCAAATATTTTTCAAATTCACAGTGGGCCATATTTCATTCAAATCCATGACAGAGTTATGGGTCTTTGAAAATGGCCCTAACTTACAATCTCAAAGATATGAATTAATTATCATGTGGAAACCATCAATAGAGTTGACTGGTATAATGTTGCACAAATTAAACCTGAACCAGGAATTTTCCAAAGATCAGTTAAAATTTTTGCTAGAGTAATGGTCCTTGGTAAGAGACCCCAAATTATATGATATCGAAGTTAAAAGCTAATATATTTAAAGGTTTATAAGATTATACAAGAAGTTGCACACAAAACTTTAAGTTTAATTGTAATACCAACATAGTGCCCCATTGCAGTGAGTAGTAGAACCCCATTTTTCTTCCGAAAAGTGAAATAATATAACTCAATAAACTCTAAAATTATTTAAGGTTCAACACAAAATAACATTAAACAAAATAAACATTTTACTAAAAGATAATATAGTGAAGGTGATCTTCCAGACACAAATTACACACAGTACAAGCACAGTACTTAACATATGTGAACATTAGAACAAATAAAAAAAAAAATCATAACTGAAAAATCTAATCACAATGATTTTTTATTTTCTAAAACTCGACGATAACAACATTATGTGAAAGTCACAAACAGGATGTACACTCATGTGCTGACAAGATCTACCACAATCTATAACACACAACAACATTTAACTAAACAGTGTGACATTATTATTCTAAGAGACACGTGTGTATTGTGTTTTTTATTCTCACTCATTAACACTACCTTCACTTTCATACACTTCTGCCTCCTCAACAGGGGCTTCCATGAAAAACGTGGGCTCTTTTGAGACCCCTTTGACCCCTACTTGGGCCTCGGTTGAGTAAGCAGGAGTCTGAGGTGTGGCGGGGGTTACGCCTATTTGGGGCTGCATGCTATCTGCCGTTTGTGCAGTTTGAGGTACACCTATACGTATGTCATGCAATAATTATAAATAAACTGTAATCTTTAATTATCCCTACTACTGGTAATAAAGCACCATTAGTAATAATAATGATCATTGATGCTATTTGTGCAAAACGGTTCTAATTTATATGATTGTAATCACTATTAAGATTAAGGAAGGATCTAATTTTTTTTTCAACAAGATCTCAATACACCTGATTCTGCATTGTTAGAAATAATACTACATGTAAATGTTAAGCGACATAATTGTTTAACATAATTTTATGAACAATATTTTCTTAGTAAAAAGCGTTCTTGACAAATCCTAGATAACGTTTTGTTTAAAATTTATTCACTGTGAGAAAATGATAATAACTGAATGAATATTTTCTTGATCTATTTTTTTTTTCAAACATAAAAAGACTTAAACTTCCACAAAATTACCATATAATTAAAAGCAAGAGCTGTTTTGTAGATAAATCATTAAGCATTAAAATGAACACTAGGCGCTTCTTGTCCTGAACAATCATATTAATAAATTTCATTACTAATTTTTATAGCAAAGGATTATGAGCCTTAAATTGAATTATTTAAGTATGATATAATTTTTGTCAACGCATGACTATTATAATTATGTATATTATAGTATTAAACTGTAAATTATACTGTAATGAAATGGTTAAAAGTAAAATTAAACAAAAAAAAATGTTCATAAACATGTTTAAATTGGTCTAAAAATATGTAAATTATCTTAATAAAATAATGTAAAAATTTAGCATTAAAATAGGGTTGATTTGACCTACCATCTTTTCCATTCACTGGCAGTGAAAAGGCTTGGGTGTGCTCTCTACTTGCCTCGCCAATGGGCGTTAACTGAGTGTATGTTTGACCAATGGGAGGCAAGGGGGCGTGTGTTGTAGGTAGAGGCCCCGGAGCACCTGTTGAACTACCTGAGGAAGCATCATCCCGCCACTGACCTTCACCTTGACCTAGTTACAAACACAAACCATGCAATATGGGAAAATATCATGCATTACACATCAATATCATACACATAAAACATTACACAATCAAGTCTTCATGCATAGAACTTAATATTACGTATTTACCACATGACATTTATAATTGTGCTTTAAATCCAATATATAATAATCATTATAAAGATCTGGTGAAAGGGGGATCACTCAGAAGCATAAATCACAATAAAATTACATGAAAATTGCAGACTCGGTTTAATTGATCGAGTCTGTACATGAGGGATAATGAAAAAATTCAACATCCCTCTCATATAGTGTATACTACAATATTGAGTGTTAAGTACTTATACACAAAATTATTTAAATAATTATATTCAAAACATTTGGCAAACAGCATAATAGTCTTATAGAAACAAAATCAATTTCTGATATAGTAGCATAAAGAGTGTACCAATTGAAATTTTAGGTTCCATTAAAGTCAGGAATCCAAAAACAAAATGTAGGTATTACACATGTTATCCCAAATCAATGTACAGACAAGTAAAAAAAATCCAGAATTTACTATATAAATATCATACAGACAAAAAAAGAAATACTTAACATACAAACAGACAAGTCTGGGAAAGTCAAAATCAGATTTTACAGGCCCTGAATTAAAAATTCATAATCTTATAAAAATAAATTAACTTGTTTAATTTCTTTTTGTACACCTTGTTTAATAGCTGTTAATTGACAGACTACAAAACTCAAGATTTTTACAATTATAAAATAGTCATGTGATAAATAGAATCTGACATTCATTGTCATTGTTTATATAAAGTTTTACGAGAATTTAACATTGCCAAGAAAAAAATGTTACGTACATGTAAGCCTGCTTGAGGCTCACATGCATAGCAACATTTTCTGTTAGGACTTATTTCGTTAAAGTTTATATGAAATAACAATGCAAGACAGATTCTTTTAATATAACTTTGTATATATGTTTGTATTACACAATCAAATTTCATGCATATTATATAAAGGTAGTGTAAATACTGTTACTATCATGGGAAATTACACTTCATTCAGTATATCAATGTGACATGCATTTTACAAGAAAATTATGATGTTGGGATATAATAATATACACAGAACTTTAAAAAAAACACAAAAAAACTCATGAATAAAATGTTAAGTCTAACAAAAATTCTGATCCATATATATTTTTAAATAATTCTATGTCTTTTTATTTTTCAATAACCTGTATGCATATACATTTTCTTTCTTTAAATTAGTTTTTTAATAAACATTTTCTTCCTTTTTTATTTCAATGGACATTTAAAAGGCCAATGCTTAAGTGAATTAATATTTCTTTCTTTTTAATTTTTGTTTTCCACTTATTTGCTTTTACCTAGTAGATTAAAAAATCTCCAATTTTCTCTTAAAGTGACACACACAATATTTCAATCATCTTTTATTCTTCATTAACCCTTTACCTACCAGAATTTTGTAATGTATTTGCCCACCACCTATTGATTCAGAACAGTCCATTTTATGTTTTAGGGAATTCAATATCAAATTACAAAATTGAGCCTTAGTTAAACCAACAGTATAAAGCAATGGTCTGACATCATGGAGATGTGACTCTTATACTGGTGGCAAATACATCACTTTCAGCTCCAACAGGTTCAGGGTCAATGAAATAAAACAACTTGCACATGCAAAATTTTAGCAATCGTTACTGCTTTTTCATCATACCTCTATCCCTAGGATGAAGACGATGTGATCCCAGTTTGCTCCCCTTGAATGAACCAGAATGTTGCGACCTATCATCACGTTCCGGTAATTCGGCATCTAACGTTTGCTGCGGAACTCCTTTCTGATCATTGGCTTGTAGCATGGACTGTAGAATTACAAAATAGTATTATACCAAATATAGAAACAAATAAAACTGATCAGTTAAAAAAAATAGAGCCATTTTTTATTCAAACTGCACAGGTCTGTTGAGCCCTTTAATGGCGTCATTATACAGAAATATTCATCAATATTCAACTTACTACTGTACTTTATTATAAAGCATTAAATGATAAAATTTCAAGATCAAAATAAAAATATGTACTAACAATAAACATTAATTGATGAATACCATGAACATATTTATAACATTATGGGATAATTGAGTATCACTGCGAATAAATGATTAAATAATTTAATAATTGATTAAATAAACAATCAAATCAAAATTATAACTTGATCAATGAATCAATAGATAGCTTAAAGTCAATAGGTTGGTTGGGTCATTGATTGATTGATGGATTGATTGATTGAATTGGATTTAAATGAACTATTTCTTATGTAATGAAATGAATGAAAGTATGTTATATGTAACTTAATGAATGAATAAATAAATAATAAATCATCAAAGTAAAGAACAGAATAAATGAATGAATGAATAAATAAATGAATGAATGATTGAATAAATGAATTAGTTAATGATTGAATGAATGAATGAATGAATCATAAATAGACAAACAAACAGGTGAAAGAACAAACAAATAAAAGTAATAACATCAAATGAATTGCTGTTTATAAAAAATAATATAATAAATCGAAACAAAACACAAATTTACCGGCATGCGAGGCAACAGATAACCCAGTATCAGACTGTCCAGTATGACGGGTTGACTGTCAAGCATTGTTACTGGCTGAAAAAATCCTGAACCCAGTCTCCTCAACTTAAGTTTATCCTCCTTTACTATGTGTCTTAGTTTATAACAGTGCGTCTTTTTTAACTTTGCCTTGTAGCGAGGCCCTACCAGAAACTTCCTCGGTAGGGGTGGTAAAGTTGCCACTGTCATTTTGTTTTAACTTTGTTATATTTTTCTATCAAATGACTAAGACAATGACTTAATAGTTTTCTTTTAACTTTATAGTTTTATTTTTCTCTCAAATAAAGTAAACGTCCAACAATGTTTATTCCAGTATAATTATATATCCTTCATTGCGCTTCCAAAATCCTTTTCCATCTTTTTCCAAGAATAGTTTATTTCTTTATTAAATAATAGATATATTTACACATTCACATTATCACAAATGATTCAGTTAATACTTTTCCTGTAATTTTCATTTCCAATTGTCATAATAGTAAAGTCAAAAGTTTGGTTTTCATATTCTGATTTGAAAAATAAAAATTGCTCTTCAAATTTGGAGATAGAAATAGTCCGGTATCATGTTCTTCAATCATTAAAAATATAAAAATATTACTAATTTACAACCATTAATGCTATAAATTCAAGTACTTATGTTATCTGTGTAAAGATTTCATTTCATTTTTTGTAAATTTCACTTTTTCTTTTATAATGTAATTTACAAAGAAAGAAAAAACAATAAAAAAAAAATATATATTTTCTGTTTCAAACTGATTGCATTTCATATATTCTACTTAAGCACGTTGTTAATTTGAAGATTGATCAATTTTTGAATTACTCGTAGTCGCATATAGTAACATTGCAAGTGTTTACCCTATAAACACCCATATTGAATAACATTAGCATAATAGTCACATGCTGTTTTATTTTGTAACATTTCTATAATACAAAATTTTGTATATCTTTTAATACGTGCATAGGTAAGCCACAAGTACCAATAAATCAATTGGGGATTTATAATAGCGTCGGCATTTCCGTCGGCATTTCCGTTACAAAGACACCAAACTGCACACACATACACTTTTTAAACTTGACTTGAAAATTTAATATTCAACTAACCTTATAACTAATTGAATATAGCATTTACATCAATATATTTGCCACATTTAACTTAAATCCACAAATTAATCTTATGTAACTGTTTCATTATTTAACAACTTTTAAGATTTTTTATTGTAATATTATGACATACCATTAATTGCTATAATAAATTTAGAGATCTTCATTACAAATGACTTTATATTCAAAATTACAAATTTATATAAAATGATGACTACTCTTTTACATTTGCATTGTGCACACTCTTCAAAAAAATATTTCACTAAAAAAAACAACAACCATATAGGTTAAAAAAAATAATAAAAGCAACTGACCCCAGGTGATATGCAAAACTTGAGCTCTTACTGCGTTTAGTGACAGACACGCCATAGAAATATAGAGAAAAAATATCATAAATGCTGCAAAATCAATCATCAATTGCACATGTAAATCATTACTTAAATTATCTTGAATCTTTTTACATTTCTTAAAATCCTAGTACATTTTTTAATTTAGATTGTTTACTTCTCGAAATATTTTTACTCATCTGGAAACATGCAGCTTTAAATGGAGAAAAAATAAAAAAATTAATCCGTAAGTTCCATATTTTTATCTTTTTGTTCACATTAATATGTCTAAAATAATTTCGCATTGAAGGTCAGATTAAATTAAATCAAACAAAATACATGTCACATAAATCCATCATGGTATATCCAGGTTATATTTCTGTATGTTGTAACCTTCCCACATTATCATGTCTGTGGTATAATACCCATAAAGTCACTAATTCTTATCTAAACATATGGTAACTTATAGTTTTATAAAAATATACTGGTTACTTCCCTTTTTCATTAATCTCCATTTGCTTATCATATTTCATTTTATTGGATTAAAATCACACTGACGATAATTCGGTAACATATACCTGGTTTCAAGAATAACTGGTGGCTTAAAACTGATTATTTTATAGTTTGAAGACCTCTTCTAACATTATCTTTCATCAATATCATATTCTGTAACTATAATAAATGATAAATTTTCTGTTTAAGCTATTATCTATGCTTAGATGATACGGACAGTCAATCAATTCTGTATGTCCCTTTTTTTAAAAGAGGAAAAAAATCTGTTGACTTTAATATTTCTACAAAATATGTTACAAACTGATTCTGTTAAAAACTTTCAATGGCATGGTACACAACTTAATAATTTTTCGTTAAAACAAAAGGCAATTATTGGAACCTATAATAAAATGTCAAAGTTTTCAAGGGATTTACAAAATAGGCAGCAAGAGTTATGGCACTTAATTCTGTCTGTAGAAAAGATCATTAAAATTGCATGTATGAAGTTTTACATTTGCTATACCATACTGTCTTGATATTAGTAACTTTTACCAAAATTCATATTTTTTTATACATTCAATGACATAGACGCGATAGTTGAGCTCAAATTAGAATGTCTCCAGGTGAGCCAAAATATTTCAAGAAAATTAAACTTTGAGAAAAATATACAAAAATTTAAGAAAAGTATAAAAAGATTTGAGAGTTATAAGTAATAATTCACATGTTATATGTGATTAACCCTAAATTCACTGCCATATGCATATGCCATTCCTATTATTTTCGGCGTATTTGCCATATGGACGGCTTTTGCCGTTTCTATAATAATAATACTATTTATAATAACAATAATTATAATAATAATCATAATAATAAATATATAGATAATTATACTATCAACAATAATTATTATTATACTAGCATTATTTGGAAACATACATAATTATTATAATACTTATAACAAATAATAATAATAATATTAATTAATAATATAGTAATTTCTTAAAAAACCTTCTGGCAAATAGGTGATCAGTGACAGTAAATAAATAAATAACCCTCTGGCAGCGAAAGGGTTAAGGACCGATTTTGCAGAATTAATCACCATTTTTCTACTGCATTCCTAACAAAGTAAACGGGAAAGGGCTATTTTTGTCTATTTTTATCACTTTTTGGTAATTTACGTGGATTGCAAGTGCTAGCTGTTTGCAATGTGTAAATTATTTTCTTTGTTCATTTCACAATATTTGACTTTTAAATACATTTTTAAAAATTTAATGAAAATTAGCATGAATCTGCAGGCATGCTGCTTTAAATGCGGTAACCTATGAATTAAACCATTATCCTGCAGGTTACAAGAAAGTTTCCATCGATTTCTAAAAATTATATCGGAAAAGTTAATAGCACCAATTTCCTGAAATCAATCCATTTACATGTATTTTCTTGTTATAGAACATGCGTTTATGAATATCAAAGTGTTACAATCTTTATTAAGAGAGAATTAACCTTAGGTATCAGTAGCTTTGTATTGAATATTTCTAACAAGGGAAAATTACATCAATATCCAGATATGGAAAAAGCAATTGACTTTCAAACAAGCTTATGCTGTATATATACTATATTTTTCTTAGCCATAGAAAACACTCTTTAACTGACAAAATACTATAGTCTTCATATAACTGACAAAATACTATATTCTTCATATAATTGACAAAATACTATATTCTTCATAATTTTCATACTAATCTCTTAAATTGACAAAATACTCTATTCCTCATACTTTTAGAAAACTGCCAAAAAATAATATTATTTCTCATTGACTCTCTTTTAACTGACAAAACACTGTATTCCTTATTATAGATCTAGGGCAATACTCTACAACTGCCAATGATACTATAATATATTCCTTATTTCTATTAATAATGCTCAATTACTGGTACTTCATTTCTCAAAAAATGCCAAAGCACAAAATTAATTCCTCACAGAATCTATTCACTCATAGATATTATAGTTAACTATAATAATTATTTCCTCATAACAATTATTTGTCACAATATCATACAATGGAAAAAAAAAATCCAAATTAAATTTGAAATTTTGTTTTTCTTTCCTAATTTACATCCAAAGAATCAGTTACTATTTAATATATCTACAATACACAGAAACTCTTTTACAACAAAAAAAACATTTGTGAACATGATCATAAGTATATTGACTTAAATTAATCGTCCAATCATTGCAGCTTTAAGGTCCAACTAATAACCTGCGGTTCATTTTCATGGTAAAAATCAATCCAATATTTGAACCAATCATGAAAGGTACTA